ATGGGCTGCCTTGCGTGCACATTGCGCCCTAGTCCTGCTTTAGGGTCCTTCCGGTGGCCCATATGCTCTAGATAGAATTAAACGGGATCTACACTGCAGACTCATTCTTCGCCCATATCTCAAAAGAGATGATTGGGATAGATTTGACCGACCCCACGTGATGCTGTTGATAAGAAAATCCCCCGATCTCCGAGTGCCGGAGTGTCGGAGATTCGCGGTCTTGCAGTCACTACTACAAAAAAAGGATCAATCACATAATCTCCTCGTACCTCTCTGCTTCCCCCGCCTTTCAGGAGGGTTTTTTATATCCAGCTCTGATGCGAGGCTTCTCATGTTCTCCTTCCCGTTCAGAAGTAATCAGCTGCGCTTTTTGTCCTGCTCATCATCCGCAATGGCTCGAAACTATGATGTAAGTAACGCTTGCGCGGTCATTGTGCCCATGACCCTGCCCCATTGATCCAATAATGCTGATTCCAGGACTAGGCTGCCATCTCAGCGCTAAATTTGCTGCAGAGCAACTTCGCCGCCATTCAGCAGGTGAATAAAGACAGGAAGAACATGAATTTACGGTCCATTCCGGAGACCATCGAATGGCTCCGACGCATCGGGTACAAGGTGCGTTCTTCCATCTTTGATATTATATTGGCGGTTCCTTGCTCACCTAAAATACATATGGCCTGTACTGATGACCCATCTATCAAATATTTGTAGCCTTCTGATTTGGACCGACTGAATCTCGTTCACATCGCGGGCACGAAAGGCAAAGGCTCAACTTCAGCTTTTGTGTCGTCTATCCTTTCCCAATACACTGTCTCACAATCGCCCGACTTGGAAAGCTCTTGCCGAAAAATTACCAAGGTCGGGTTGTATACCTCCCCTCATTTGCGATTTGCCCGCGAACGCATCAAAATCGACAATGCCCCGCTTTCCGAGGAAAAGTTCGCTCAATACTTTTTCGAGGTATGGGACCGCTTGGAGGAGGCTGCTCGAGTGGCCGGGGAGAACCCTTCAGATCCACAGACGAAACCTCAATACTTTCGTTATTTGACACTGATGGCGTTCCATACGTATATCAGCGAAGGTGTGGATGCCGCAGTGATCGAGTGTGGAATTGGCGGGGAGTACGACTGCACAAACGTGATTGAGCGGCCTGTGGTAACTGCCATTACAAGCCTCGGGATTGACCATACCGCTTTGCTGGGAAACACAGTGGAGGAGATAGCTTGGCATAAGGGTGGAATTATCAAGCCAGGCGTGAAGGCTTTCAGTTCACCTCAACCCGCCAGTGCTGAGGAAGTACTACACAAGCGTGCGCAGGAGAAAGGAACGCAGCTGCAGATTGTGTCGCGGCACCCTGAACTCGATAGCGGCAGTGAGCTCAAGCTTGGCCTTGCCGGCGACTTTCAATATACAAACGCGTCGTTGGCCGTAGCTACTGCCGCCGAGTTCGTTGCGAGATTAGGACTTGAAGACATCCCCTCGGACTTTATGGAGAGGCCTCTACCACCCAAGTTTCGCAAGGGATTGGAATCGGCTCGATTGGGCGGCCGATGCGAGACCAGACTTGAGAAAGACATCACATGGTACATTGATGGCGGTCATACATTGGAGAGCATCAAACTGGCTGGGCAATGGTTCGCTTCCCAGATTCAGATCAATTCGTCATCGAGCGCTGCAGCTGAGAAGAAGCTGCGGCTTTTGATCTTCAACCAACAAACTCGCGACAGTAATGCTCTCGCCCAAGCCCTTCATGAAACCCTCTCAAGTGCTCTAGGGTCGGAGAGCCCATTTACCCATGCGATTTTCTGCACCAACGTGACATACAAGGACGCCGGGTACCGACCGGACCTCGTAAGCATGAACACGAACGCATCTGATGTGGAAAGGCTGCGGGTGCAAAACGGCCTCGCTGAGAAATGGAATTCAATCGACCCCAAGACGGAAGTTAAGGTCTTTGGTACTATCGAGGAAGCCGTTGACTTTGCTCGGGGGCTTGCGAGACAGGAGAGAGACCGTATAGGCCATGATGAAGCCCCTGTCATGACTTTCGTCACGGGCAGCTTACACCTGGTCGGAGGTTTCCTTGACGTTATCGAGACCAAACCTGGTCCCCAATAAGGCCACTGCCACATCTCATTACGATACTCAGGATCCGCATCTTTTCTGCCTGTCAAAAAGATTTTCAACAACGCGAAGATACCCATATGAAATTTTTTTTCTTTGATCTCATATATAATTATATTCTTCTGGCCTGAAGGCGTTCAACCTGTTTTCAACCAGACCTTCTCCTTCTAAAGCGTGCCACAGTGGCTATTCCGGCCCGTTATTTGAAAGGAACATGAACAATGCATAGTGATGTGCTGCAATCTTCTTCTCTGTAACCGAGTAACTCGAGTATTTACGGTTGTGCCATACATTCCTTTCCCGAGGTCCATTCGGAGGATAAGAGGCACATGGAGAACTAAAGTAGTCGTAGGAGGCTGTAAGACCCATAAAACGAGGTAATATTTGCCTTGAAGAGGATACGTGTCACTTGATTCGTTACCATCTGATTTTACCGCTGTGCTTGTGGTTAATCTAAATGACTCGATCTATTATTATTGTGGTCCCCCGCGAAACGTGTCCCACCCATCAGTATCTTAAGACACTGACGTGGGGCTATCGCTGAAAACCTTCCCGCAATTTCATTTTGTGGTTTCGCTCCCCCGAATTTCAACCATCCCATCCTCGCTCTCCACACGCCAGAGGTCATGTCCGACTCGAAGGATCGCAAGGGCAAGGCCCCCGAGGCCCAGTCCACCGACAAGAAGTCCAAGAATGAGAAAGACGGCACGATGAAAATAACACCTCAGATGGCAGAGTCACTGTTGGAGAACAACCCCGCTCTCAGGAACGAGATGGCCGGCATGGACAAAGAGAAGGCGGCGGAAGCAATGCGCAAAATGAACATTGCCGAACTGCTGACGGGCTTGTCGGTTTCCGGAAAGAATCAGAAGGATATGGCTTCGTACAAGTTCTGGCAGACGCAGCCTGTGCCTCGATTCGATGAGACGAGTACCGATACTGGGGGCCCCATCAAGATCATTGATCCTGAAAAGGTCTCGAAGGAACCGGATGCTCTGATTGAAGGGTTTGAATGGGCGACACTCGACCTGACGAACGAGACTGAGCTGCAGGAGTTGTGGGATTTGTTGACATATCACTACGTGGAGGATGACAATGCCATGTTCCGGTTCAGATATTCGCAGTCGTTCCTACACTGGTGGGTGCATAACGTGGCCGAGGGATCTATTCCTACCGGCGTGTAAGGATGTGGATTATTTGAGCACTGACAATTTTGACTGTAGGGCTCTTATGTCGCCTGGCTGGAAAAAGGAATGGCACGTCGGTGTCCGCGCTACCAAGTCGCGCAAACTGGTGGCGTCCATTTGCGGTGTCCCGACAGAGATCAGCGTGCGCAATCAGAAGCTCAAGGTCGTTGAGATCAATTTCCTGTGCATCCACAAGAAGCTCCGCTCGAAGCGCTTGACACCCGTGCTTATCAAAGAAATTACCCGTCGTTGCTACCTCAATGGCATTTACCAAGCCATCTACACTGCGGGTGTGGTGCTCCCCACTCCTGTCAGCTCATGCCGCTACTACCACCGCCCCTTGGACTGGTTGAAGCTTTACGAAGTCGGCTTCTCACCTCTCCCTGCCGGATCCACCAAGGCGCGCCAGATCACCAAGAATCACCTTCCCAGCACTACCTCCACCCCCGGTCTTCGCCCCATGGAACCCAAAGACATTGACGCGGTGCATGATCTTTTGCAGCGATACTCGTCGAGGTTTGCGCTGAACCAGGCCTTTACACGGGAGGAAGTCGACCATTGGCTCGTGCACAAGCCGGAGACAGTGAAAGACCAGGTTGTCTGGGCATACGTGGCAGAGGACCCCGAAACGCACAGGATCACCGACTTCTTCTCTTTCTACAACCTCGAATCCACTGTCATTCAAAACCCCAAGCACGACAATGTGCGTGCTGCTTACCTGTACTACTATGCAACCGAAACAGCCTTCACCAATGACATGAAGGCTCTCAAAGAGCGTCTGCTGATGCTGATGAATGACGCGCTGATCCTAGCAAAGAAGGTAACTTAAGGAGTCCACTGCCGTTTCTCCCGGTTCGACTTGCCGAAGCTGACACTATCTTTGATAGGCACACTTTGATGTTTTCAACGCACTCACACTTCACGATAACCCTCTGTTCCTCGAGCAACTCAAATTTGGAGCGGGTGATGGCCAGCTTCACTTCTACCTCTACAACTATCGCACCGCCCCTGTTCCTGGAGGAGTTAACGAAAAGAACCTGCCGGATGAGAAGCGAATGGGAGGTGTTGGCATTGTTATGCTGTAGAATCCTTCTCACGGCCTGGATCATGCCTCGTTGATGGTCGCATCCTATACCTAATTCTCGCTGTGAATTGAATTTGACTGTGGAACATATTACTAAAATTGCTTCTCGTGGTTATGCTATCTTTAATCATACCTGTGAGTAAATGATGCTGGAATGTAGAATCTCCTTTGCATGGCAACGGTGATGCCTGGGGCAGCGACCTGTCATGTAGTGGAGTGCCCCAGGCGCCAAGGCAGCCGCATTATTACCGTTTCCGTGACGTCTTCATCACATGGAAGGTCCAGACTCTCTGTTGCTTTCTTTGCATCAACACAGCTTATTGTCCATCCACCCGATTAGTCCGGTGGAATCTGTCTGGTTCTCCAGATATGGATAACTATGAATAATCTTGTCTTGGCCATCGCATCTGCGGCCTGAAGCTGATTGGCATCGTAAACTCCCATTCCTCTTTAATACTCCGCATTCCGCCACGTCCAGCGACCATTCTATCACTTCTCGACTCGTCGATGAGGTTCGAATCGATAGAGCGAGTGTATGCGCTGAGATCTGCATTGAAGGCCGCTAGATTGTGAGATATATCTTTTGTTCTCTGTGCCTGTTCAAAATGGGCGTCGGCCAGTCGACCGAACATCTGGGCCACACAGGCACCCCAGGTTAGTATTGACCATCACAGTCTTCCCCACAGCACCGGCTCCTAGCAACATACACTTCCTTCACACAATTGGCACGAGAACAATGGCAGGCCTGTGAAGCCAATCTAATGCGAAAACAGAACACTTGAGCCTTGTGCTGGCTGAGCGCTTCGCGACCAAATGTTTCACTCCGCTGGAGCTCACTCACTTCAAAGATAACTTCTTTTCTCGCGCAATAGATCAAGGGGGCCTGAAGTACTGGAACGAGAAGATCCTTTCAGATTTCCTTGGTATTCCAGACAGTAGCGATTCCCATTGTCCGCTTGATGCTGGACCGGTGATATTTCGGATGGTTTCGTACTTGGGCGCATTTCCCTTTCAGAATACATTGGCTCCGAGTGTTCTGACCTTCGAGGCCATGGTAAAAGTTGCAGTCTTGCTAACGGAACGGTATGGGAAAGTTCTACGACGAGCGCGCAAGGACCGCATCAAGCTTTTGTTCGGAAGTCTCGCTGATGTTGGGAGGCGTGATATCGCTGCGTCTCCAGGCAAGGAGGACTTACGTAAGGAGGCAGATGAGTCTTCCGCTGCCAAATCGCATGTAACAGGCTTCGGGGTTGATGCGCCTGCCAACGATGACTACGAGGATGAGGATGAGGATGATGATGATCTCGCCCTGGCGGCCTTAGAATCGTTGGATGCTATTGACGTGTTCAAGCACGACTCTCGCATCGATAAGAAGGTCTATGAAGCTCGAATATCCGTCGCTACATTCCGTCGTCTTCTGATACTCTTGATTGTCATTGCACCTTTGAAGCCTTTGGAGCCAGTGACGACGTATACCTCAGACCTGAACGAGGCCCGAATGGAGAGCGTTCGAAAAGAGGCCGATACCATTTTGGCTGCCTTCAATATTGAAGACTCCGATGGTGGTATCAGTTACCGATCATTTGCAAACATTACTTCGACCGCTTTACCATATCTCTTCGATCCATTGACGCCCCTTTTCGAACATCTTCTGTTCAGCAAGAACCTGGACATGACCAAAAAGAGTGGATCTGACGCAACAGTAACGGACACGATTGAAAAGCCATCAGATAATGCACCATTCTCTCCGTCGACAACTATGCTTCCCGGCAGTTTTGAATCGACTATCCTCAAGTCGAGTGTTTTATCTCATCTTTCGTTCTTCCTCCCTCCTACCTCGAACGTCAATCTGCTTCGGGGCAACATGCGCCTGCATCCTGTTTTCTCAACAGCTGCGCACGGTTCATCATTAACCTCTTTCTCTCACAACGTTCTCACATGGCACGCTGGCACACTACTCCTCCTCGAGGGTGCTGTATCTGAATCATCCGAACATGGAGAGGGCATGGTTACGCTGGGAGCGTACCTTCCGCAGCCCTGGAAATCTGCACCATTGTCTCATTCTTCAACGAAGCCTTCCGACTCTTCAGCCTTGCCCTGTCTCTTTGAACTTTCGCCAAAGCACCAGCTCTTGCAAGGGAATTTTTCACCCTCCGTGCAAAAGCCCAACGCCCCCGTAGCATACTTCTCCAACAGTACGGGCATAGCGGTTGGATGCCAGATTCCACCTCCATCTCGAAGCCAACAGCTGAAACCTACGCCTCTTGGTGCAGGCAGCTTAACCATTGATGCGAGTCTCGAATCTGCAACTTTCTATGTCTCGTCCATCGGCCACAATGGCGTTTTCCTACCCCCAACTACTACGTCACTGTCGGAACAAACTGTTAGAAAGCAGATAGACATCTACACCCTGGAAATATGGGGATTGGTCCCTGAGCCTTCGGACGCATCCTCATCAGAGCCGAGGCAAAGTACGGTCGAGTTGCAGCGAGCAAAGTGGGAATTTGAAGCTCGTGAGGCTGAACGGAGACGAAACCTAAATCTGAAAGCCGGAGCCGGGGATTCTGCAATGGAGGGCGCGAGATGGCTTCTGGAGACTGCTGGGTTGATTGGTGATAGGCCTGGGCAAAGGGGTGGAAGTATTTGATACCTAGTTTCATGCCACTGATTTTTTTGTGCCTCAAATCACTTCACCATGTTTCTATCGGGTTGCAGGCAACGAATGGCATACGGACACAGAGACACGCCCAGGTTTGATTTTGTCGGCATCATCCATGATCTGTACCGAGTCGTTTGTTTGGACAGTCCACTTGAAGAGAGTTCCCATGCTATGGACAAAGCACTGATTCTGTCTTTCATGAATTCTGGCGCTACAGAGGTACGACAAACAGGATATATAATACATGACTTATGCGAGCTGAATACTCGCCACAAACCTCCATTTCATACTCTAAGAGGCGTCAGACCAGTTGGGGCCCCATAAAAGTCCTTCAACTCCTCCTCTTCGTCTTCTTCCTCGACAGGCCCATTGATGTTCTCGATTTCCGATTCCTCGTCCGCAGCGTTGTTCTTTAGGAACCGACTGCGCGCGCCTGAATTTGCGGCAGGAGCCGGAGTTCCACTTTTTCTCGTGTCTTCGGGCTCGTGTTCATCCTTGTTCTCGCGCGGTAGACGTAAGGCGAGAAATCCCTCGGGGGCACGTTCTGCACGGTCCATAACTTCATTCATGTACTTGCGCACCTCGTCTGGTGGCTTGACCACCCGTGCCAGAGGCTCTAGGAACTTCGGGTTGGCGCTGTAGATACGAATCGTGATGGGCTGGTAGTACTCCTTAAGATTCGACTTGTTTGCATCTTCCTTTGACTCCTTGGATTTGTTGGAGTCTGGTTTGCTGGGAGTTTCGGCCTGAGCCTTCTGATTGCCTTTATCGTCTGACCCTTTGGCAGAGTCAGTAGCGCTCGTAGCGGAATCCTGATTGCTAGAAGATTGGGCCTTGTCCTTCTCCTTAGCGGCCTCATCGGACTTGTCATTCTCTTTCTTGTCTTTCTCTTTGCCCTCCCCGCCTTCCGCTGCCTTGTCTTTGTTCTTGTCCGCTTTCTTCGACTTGGAGGTGGACTTGCCCTTGGCTCGGGATGTGGTCGTCACGGAAGCATCTTCTATGGGGAACGGTGTGTTGGGGTCCACCTTACGAATGAGTAAGAAGGACGCTAGAACTGTGTTTCCTCCAGGAAGCCATTCTAAAATAGAGTACTCCGGAAACAAATACCGGTCTCCTGAACCTGCGTGGCCCGAAGTGCTGCTTCCGTAGGGCGTCAATGGTGAGGTAAACTCAAAGACAACCGACTTGTAGCCCACCCTAGGAGGAGGCGGGGGAGGAGCGGGACGATAGTAGGACGGAGACCCGTGTTGCGGTGGACGTGACTGGATTGAAGGAGACTGGCCTTGGAATGGCGGATACTGCGCACCTGGACGCGGTGCTGGAGTGTGATTCGGAGGGGGCTGGGTCATTTGTCGTACTGCAGGACTCGAGTTTGGCTGATGAGGAGTAGAAGCTGCGCCTGGAGCGGGTGGCGGGACTACCGCGATACTAGGACTAGATACTCCACCAGGGGGCGGTCGAGTTGTCGCAGTCGTTCCCGGCTCCTGTTTGACCTGAGGAGCAGCATTGGACTTCTGAGCAGCGGGCGTTTGAGGTTGCTTGGTTGGCGTTTGGCTGGAATTCTGTACTGCAGACTTCATCGCTGGCGAGGGCTTGGGAATTTGAACTTCCACTCTTGGCATCGGCTGCGCCTGCGGCTGCGGTTTAGCTTGTGATTGTGATTGCGGCCGATGTTGGGGGTTCGAGCCTGGCTGGGCCTGCGACGGGCCATGCTGTTGACTCGGCTGCTCTGACTGCGATTGCTGGGAGTTCTGCAGCGGTGAAGGCTGAGGTTGTCGCTGTAGAACTCCTTGCTGTGCAAGTTGCGGCGTGTGGCGCGGTGTCTGCGATGGAGCACTGCCTGGAGCTTGCCCTTGTTGCTGTTGTTGCTGTCGCTGTTGCTGCTGCTCTCTCGCACGAATGATCGCATTCAGTTCATCAATATGAGCCTGAAACGCTCGGAGCTGTTCCTGAGATGCTTTGCTGCTAGCAACCACTCTCATCAGTGCCTTGAGATCGGGGTCTGAAGCAGCTCGGGTTGCAAGCATCTGAATGACCGGGTCCGGACTGGGCTTTGGAGGTTGAGGGGGCTGTGCATGTTGAGATGCTGGCGGGCGCTGGGCCGACTGAGGGGTATAGGGGGGACGAGGAGCATTGTGAGGAGATGGATGACTGGGTGTTCGGGCGGGATGTGGAGGCGGATGTTGGCTGCCCTGGGGGTAACCCGGTTGTGGTGAAGCCGAGTGGGCGGGCGAGTAATGAGCAGGCTGGCGTGACTGCTGAGATGGTGGCGGATGAGGATAGGAATGGTACTGCTGGAAGTTGTTGGGATGGCCATAGTGAACCATCGGCCGCTGGGGGGGAGTGTATTGAATCGATGGCGGCGCGTTAGGATCTTTGACGGTGTACAGCATAGCATCGAAAAGGTGAGGCCCAATGGCGATGCTGCAAGGTCCAACTTTCAGCATGGACTCTTTGGGAGGGTTTTTGCCTTCAATCTGCTCTCTTTTGGACTTCTTGGGTTTGGTGTAGTATCGCTCTAGAATGCCGTCGCTGAGCCATTTCTTCTTCGATCGTTCCAGAGAGGCGAGAAGGACAGCACTGTGGGAGACAAAGGAACCGCGTCAGTTCACGTACGTACTCAAATAGATGCAAGAACAAAGCGAAGGGCATTGCACTCAATGAAACCCGGAAGAACGCACCTCTCAGCGATTGACTGATACTCTTTGGATGAAAGGTCGGCGGGCTGCGGCACGGACAGCGTGGGGAGAGGCTCTCCATCCTTGATCTTCGTCGGCAGGGGCTTCTCGATGACCTCCGGTTCAGGTGGAGGAGGTTGAGGAGTGGGAGCAACACTCGGTGTTGAGCCTTTCTTCCTAGAAGACGAGCCCTGTTGAGCCTGAGATTGAGGTGCGGCTTCAGATTGACGTCTTTTCGCGGAGGGCTCGCGACGGTCGCGGGTGGAGAGTTTGCGTTTCTCAGCCATGCTGAGCGATCACACACGGGGCAGTCGATGGGAAAACCTTGCTAGAGGAGATCAAAAGCATCTCCAACGGTTCTGTGAGCGACTGGAGGGCAAGAGACGAAAGAAGCGAGGGTGAGTTGCGGAGAAGAAAAAGAAACGCGGAGAATTCACAAGCGATGAAATCACGCCGCTTTCTAGGATTAATATTAGCTATGTTGGATGTCACTCCATCATTCTGTGACTGAGTCTTTCTCGATTACTACAGCTGCTTCCAACTGACACTCAGATCCGAATATGATCATCTATCTGTCCTGATGGTTTTTTTGATAATATTCCTCCCCATCACAGGCTTATCTTTCAGACTCTATCTGGTGGATATCCGAGGTACGCTTCCTATCTCTTAGAGCATCGCTCGCATACTCCGCTCTTCTTTCGGAAGCTCATACTAGGAGATATGCTTGCGTGTTCATAGGATTTGGCTATCGGATCCCACTTCACAATGGTTGAGTTACAACCAATTTTCAAAAAGGCCTACTGGACGCTGGCCGCTGGAGGCCTGGTTTATGTGAGCTTTATCTGCTCGCTCACATGGCCCAATGTCCAAAGATTGTACGCTTTGCTTAACCATATTCCTAAGAACGCGACTAACGACTGTGGTGCCATGGGCATAGTGCATTGTATGCGAACAAAGTCAACCCTGCTCTGTGGGAGGATGTCAACCAGGTCGAGCGCTTTGGATTCCTAAGTACGTGGAAACGCCCAGCTATCCATGAGGTGGTCGTTGTTGACTTGGCCAGAAACGCAGGTCCAACCATTCAACCTGGTTACCCCCGATAATGAGACGATCTATGGCTGGCATTTACTCCCTCTACACCTCTGTCGTGAGCACGAAGAGGAACTGAACGCGAACGAGCCATCTGGACCAGCTGAAGACTATACCCAAACCTCAGCTTTCAAATTCCTAGCCAACGACCCTAATGCTCGAGTAGTTGTCAACTGTAAGCGCATTGATTCTTCGCCTTGCCACTCAGTCAAAAGATGCAGTACGCTAACTAATCCTTGTTCAACCGCAGTCCACGGCAATGCAGCGCATCTCGGCTCCGCTCAGAGACCCGAAATATATCGCATGCTTCTGGGCTTGTCAACACCCTCGAACCCCGTCCATGTCTTCGCAATCGACTATCGTGGATTTGGAGTGTCCACTGGCTCCCCAACGGAAGAAGGGTTGATCACCGACGGTGTCTCCCTCATCAATTTCCTGACCGCCGGTCCCTTGAACATCCCGCCATCCAGGATTGTCATCGCGGGACAGAGCCTGGGAACAGCTGTCAGCGCCGCCGTCGCTGAGCGCTACGCGTTCGGATCGCCGGATCCTGCGGCTGTCCAACCCGCCATTCAAGACCCCGAACCGTTCGCAGGCGTCATCCTCCTCGCATCATTCAGCAACCTGCGAAACCTTATTGAATCCTACAGCTTCAAAGGTCTTACCCCCCCGATGCTCTCTCCCTTGATTGGGTACCCTCGCGTACAAAGATGGGTAAGGAGCCATATCGTCGACCACTGGGACACGGCCGCTCGCCTTGCACGCCTGACGGGTGTCGGACCATCTGCTGAGGAAGACGCGAAGGCAGGGTACACCGGCAAAGACCTGAATCTCGTAATCATTCACGCGTTCAACGATGTCGAGATCCCCTGGTACGAAGGACGTAGTGTCTGGATTGCTGCCACTGGTGAAAACCAGAAAGACGCCCGTGGCACCCTTGTGTACCAGAAAAAGGAAGAGGGTGGTCCAACCGAGGTGAAGATCTGGGAGAACAGGTCCGGGAAGGACGCGGCCGTGAAGAAGGTTCGGTGGGAACGTGTAGGCTACGGTGGTATGTTGCAAACTCCTTTCAACGTTCCTATTTCGCAGGGAGAGACAGAACTGATATGTTCTAGGTCATAACCGTGTAGCTACTTTCTCCGTTGCTGCTCTTGCCGTGCTCAGAGCTTTTGAGGAGTAATTTCCTGAGCTTTCCCCTACGACCCCGGGAAATAGCTCGACAGTCAGTTTCTGTAATCAGTCCCAATATATACCCATTCATCTGCGGCCATCATCAAGAGCATGATATCGACTTTGGGGATCACTTGTCTTTCCGTCCGAGTATGGGAGGGAGAGACGTTCAGTAATATAGACAAGAACGCTTAGAACTATTTTGGCTGCTAAATTTCTATAACCCCAAAGGCTTTAGGTCATTTTGCCATTGTGAATACCACCCCTATTCATATCCCTTCTTTCATTCACTTCTTCCATGGATCCCCAGTTGTGGTAGCCTAGGAAGGTAGGTTTACCTCTAGGACAAAGCCATAGATGCCTAGGTAGGAACCGACCTTTTTACGCTGCAGCTGTTACCTACAACAATGTTCTCGTTTTCGTCTCCCAGCTTATACAGCCTCTCAGTTGGTCAAGCTATGCTGCTTCGCACCCTGCTCCTCACCCTCATGAACCGTACCCATCACTCACACGATTACCGCATCTCTGCTGCAACCCAGTTGGAAATCCTTTCTCTTATCGACCAGCTAAAGCGCCGCATCCACAAAGCTAATGCCATTGCTCTGTTCGCTGCATAGATGAAGTCAACCTAACGACGGCAGCCGCCAATACCTACCTGCGTACATGGTGACGCTGGACGACGTGGACTTTGATGTGGGCCGAGCCATCTGCTGTTTGTCGCCCCTTGGATCTGCTTGCCTACAAGGGCCACTGCTCCAGCATGCGTTCCTGTCCGGAAAAAGAGAACAGGACGCCCAGGATACAAGGATGATCTGGGAAATGATATACAGTCCAGAGCTTGGTGTTCTGCCGGGCGAGACGTCCTCCAGCGCATTACAGCACCTGGTTATTCGCTCATGAGTTCAACCTCAAGCATCTCTAGCTCGTCCTCGTCCCCCTCAGTAACGGTTTGAACCGACCAAGCACCATCAATATGGACATTCCGATTGAGGAAGAGAGCGCCGCTGTGCTATAATACCTTGGGTTTAAGACGTCCACGGCCAGCCAGATCCTCCAGCGCTACGCTAATCGGCCCGATGACGGGAGCATCGACATGACGAGTCTCTCAACCCCTGCCGGTGGTGACTTCAACTCGTCCTTCAACGCCCACTATTGGACACCCCAGAAAGACACAGCAGAGCGATACCGAGAGTGGGCTGCTCGTCGATCCCCCGACAGCGAGACGTGCTTGATACAAATTCAAGTCTCCAACGCTTTCATTGAACGTCTACGCTCCGCAGGGATATGGTTTTCAGCGGACTAATGCACTGCCCCTCTACCCGCCGCCCGGCCACCCAGTGGATGTTTTGGAGCCCTACACGCTAAATCGCTTGAGAGACGATATTCGCGGAAAATGCATATTGAGATTTTCGCGGGGCTAGTTGAGAAAATGTCAATTGTCTTAGATTTCACTTTTCCCAGCTGCCATAAAAAGGTATATTGTCAAAAAGCCAAAGAATCCCAAAGAATCCCTCACAAGACCCACAGGGTTGTCTATATCGCAAAGTAATACACGGCTCCAAATGCTTTGGGCACAAAGGTGAATAGGACATGAGATGAGAATACACGTGGATAGAAGTAGATCGCTGTAGTAGTTAAATGTCAAGATGCTCGAGGGGTATGTATGAGCTTCGTCTTGAGCAGAAGAAAATTCGTAAAAGACTGTTCAGTCGGATATGTACGGAACGGCCAAGGGCTGCAATCAAGATGACTGCGAACCGACAAGAGACGATGGCCATGGCTTTTATTTCTTGTGTCTGTCGGCCTGAGCCTTCAGGTACTTCTGGATGAGTTCCTTCCTGTAAGAAGTTGTCAGTGATTGTTCAGAGCGGTACGTTGGCAATCAGGAGTGGAAAGATTGCACATACTGTAATTGAGGTTGAGCCTTCTCGTAGTGGCTGAACTCCATGGTAAATTCACCCTTGCCCTGGGTGGCAGCACGCAGATGCGTACTGAAGCCGAACATTCCGTTCAAGCTGCAGTCCGCATACACGGTGAACTCATCCACACCGGTCTCGGTGTCATTGATAGTGGCATTACGCTTGTTGAGGAGAGAGATAACGTCACCTTGGAACTCGCCGGGAGCGGTGACAACGATCTTCATCATGGGCTCAAGGACAGAAGGGTTGCTTTCCATGAAGGCCTTGCGGAAGGCCTGCTGGGTAGCGTTCTTGAATGACATTTCGGACGAATCCGTCATGTGGGTAGCACCGTCGTTGATCACCATCCTGGTACCAAGCACCTTGTGACCAACGAGCGGACCCTTTTCGCAAGCAAGGTTGAAACCCTTCTCACAAGCAAAAAGGAACTTCTCGGAGATACTTCCGCCAACAATCTGTTCCTCAAATTTGTTGTCCTCAAGTTTGCCGGTGGGCTCCATCCAGCCGACGACGCGGGCGTATTCACCAGGACCTCCCGATTGTTTCTTGAGCAAGTGGTCGAACTCGACTCGGTTACCGATGGTCTCGCGGTACGCGACCTGAGGCGGGCCAGTCACACAATCGACGCGGTATTCGCGACGCATGCGTTCGATGTAGATGTCAAGATGCAATTCACCCATGCCAGAAATCAGAGTCTCCTCACTCTCCGCATTGTAGGACACACGGAAGGTGGGATCCTCTCTCTGGAAACGAGCCATAGCTTTTGAGAAGTTGGCAGAGTCTTTGTTGTTCTTTGGCTTGATAGAAAGCGAGATGACAGGTTCGGGCACGAACATGGAGGTCATGGTGTAACCGAGCTGTCCATCGGTGAAAGTGTCGCCAGAGGCGCAATCCACACCGAACACGGCGCAGATCTCACCGGCTCCGATCTCTGATACCTCCTCCATCTCATTGGAGTGCATGCGAACAATGCGAGGAACCTTGACCTTCTTGTTGTTACGAGCATTGAAGACGTTGGCACCCTTGCGGAGGGTACCCTGGTACACGCGGATGTAGGTCAACTGCCCAAAATTGCTTTCTTCCAGCTTGAAAGCAAGACCAACAAATGGCTGGGAGTTGTAGGGGACAAGCTTGACGGAGGCCTCATCCCGCTTCCGGTCAAGAGCGAGGTTTTCGACTTCGGATGGGTTGGGGAGGTAGTCGATGACACCATCCAGCATGGGCTGTACAGACTTGTTGGCAAGTGCAGAACCCATGAAGACGGGAGTGAACTTCAAGCCAACGGTCGCTCGCCGGATGGCGGCCTTGAGCTGCTGCTCCGTAGGCTCAGTCTCCTCCAGGAAGAGCTCAGCAATCTCGTCGTCGACGTCGGCAACGGTCTCAATGAGCATCCTTCTCCGTTCCTCCACAACTGACTTGACCTTCTCAGGAATCTCATCCTTAATCACGATATTCTCACCGCTCGGTCCTTCGTTGTAAATGGACTTCATACGAATCAGGTCGACCACGCCCTCGAACTCGTCTTCAGCACCAATTGGCACTTGGACGGCAGCAGCAGGGATCTTGAGCTTGGTGTTGATCTGTTCAACGGCCTTGAAAGGATTGGCACCCATACGGTCCATTTTGTTGACGAAAGAAATTCGAGGGACGTTGTAGCGGCGCATCTGGCGGTCGACCGTGATAGTCTGGGACTGGACACCTGACACAGCACACAGGATCATGACAGCACCATCTAGAACGCGCAGTGCTCTCTCCACTTCGATGGTGAAATCGATGTGACCTGGTGTATCGATCAAGTTGATGTGGTATTTTTCCTCTTTTCCATCCTCTCCCTTCTTTACCCAGTCACAGAATGTCGCTGCGGACTGAATAGTGATACCCTTTTCACGCTCAAGATCCATCGAGTCCATCTTGGCACCAACATTGTCACGGCCGCGAACTTCGTGGATGGCCCCGATCCGACCAGTGTAGAACAGGACTCGTTCGGTACAGGTAGTTTTTCCGCTGTCGATGTGTGCCTATAAGTACTAGTCAGATGCTGTGTCTCCATGGGAATGCTCTAAATTCCCGGAAGATGACTTACAGCGATACCAATGTTCCGAAGCCTGGACAGTCTGATCGCTTCAGCAGGGTCAAGGTTGTCAATAATCGCCTCCTGAGACAGACCGTCGGGATTGGAAGCGGCGGCCTCGAGGCTGAGCAGACGAACGAGATTAGCGATTGAACATACAAAACGTAAATCTAGCAATTCCACGGAAAGATCCAATTATCACTAGAAGAGCCGAACTACTTACACGGCGGCAGCGGTAGCAGCGGAGGCATTGCGTCGTTGCAAATTGTGTCTGTTGAAAACCGACTGATAAGCCGGGCCGGCAATGGGTGAACGGAGAGCGGCCGTTGACGCGCATCGTTGATACAAAAAGTTCTGAGATTGAAGGCGCACAGGCGATCTGGTCAAACCAGATAGAGCACGGTGAGGTAACCGTGCAAGAGAAGGACACCGCATGATTGTCAACCACCACCACGGGGAACTGGGAGTGCTGATGCTGCTGATACTCTCAGCGTCGCGATCTTTTTTCTGCCCCGAAAAAAAGTTCGGGGAAGCCAGGAACAAGGCACGTGATCTTCCCAGTCTCGACCAATGAGATCCGGGAAGTTCAGACCATTTCTACAGTTTATGTACTCTGTAAGTTTGATATGACTGACAGCCTGGGAACTACTAGGGCAATAAATATTATAATTATCTCAGTTCCGCATCAAACAAAATGATCCAATCTCAGTTGCTGCAGAAATAGTTCGCCGCCAAAACTGGTCCCAGGTTCACTTCCTTCGCGAACGCATCCAGATCATACCTTATCCTCTGCCAGTTACCAACAGGCTTTCCATTCTTTGGAGCATACTTCTCGACATCGAAGCCGTCTGGTTGCTCGTACAGCAAGAAAACATACCGGTGCGGCGAGCTGCCCGGCGGAGGCGCAGGGCCGATATAGTTCGCAACAAAAGGAGCTGATGTTGTCAGGATGGTCTCGCCCGTGACGGTGGTATTCGTCGATGGCTTAAATCCCGGATGAATCCAGTGTAGGATGGGTCCTAAGAAGCCGAGTGATGGAAATGGAGCATCGAGGTCCAGACTGATGACAATATAGGTGCCAGATGATACGTTGAAGGCAATCTGGGGCTCTTTCTGTGCATCTAGATGCAGAGTCCATGCATCAGTAATTGAACTATTGTTTTCTTCAGCCTACTAACCACTTCTAGGAAGGTATTGGCCAGGCGTCGTGATGCGTTGCTCGCCGAATGCCAGGCCAAGAAGCTTGGAGCTATCCTTCTCGGCAGCAGACAAGACCGCTTCGACGGATGAAATAGACGGCATTTTGGGTCGATTAGTCGATGAATACGAACTTGCCTATCTCGACAAAGGTGCCAAGTTCATAAATGAAGCCAAGTAATAGGAGTCAGATCAGTGAGGGGGTGGTCTGTACAACCTGCCCATGGGTGGTTCGGTGTTAACGGGCTTAATGGAGGTAACAGAGTTAGGTGTCCCATCAACTCTATTCAGCGTTGCCTTCATGTGATTCTCATTGACGATATTATTATCACTGATCTGTGTGCCCTGCGATAGGGACGCAGAATAGAGTCAAAACCACTCCACTAGGTAGGTAGGTATACATAGGTACTTTAGGTATGATATACCGTATGCAGCTGTATGATACAAGGCAGTACAGCACTTGAAAATCTATTTCACCGCCTTGCTTCCGCCGCCATTGGATTACTATCATCTGAATATGTCATGGATATTTTCGAGTATACCTAGCAGGGTACCGTCGATGAAGCAGATTGGGGCGTCTTAATGGTCGATGTTGCCAACCTCCATATCTCCACTTAGGCAGCTTATGAAAAGATGCGTTCATCTTTGAGACTGCTTGCCTCTGTCTCCCGCAGCCAGCCTTCGAAACTCAGGAAGCCAGCAATTAGCTTGGATCATGTATGTAAATTCTATCCACATCAAGCATCTTTGAAGCTATATTGATGCGACTGTTAGTTCATACAACGGCAGCGTGTCCTCGGTCTATGGCGCGAGATAGTCAGGGCGCTGAACAGTTGGTCTCCCGCATTGGGAATTCTAGATCTGAGTGGCCATGCCATTTGGAGACTTGCAAGCTGATTGATATCTCGACCATAAAGAGATCCCTAAATCATCGACTCGGGATGAGTTGCGCAGCTATGCTCGTTCGGGATTTGAGCGGCATCGCAACGTAACTGACTTGGTGAGTATCAGCAAAACGGCGCAGAAGCACATAGCTAATTCGTTGGTTGGTTGTATAAAAGCAACATATACGATATCTCATCTCGGTATGAGGCATTGCCCCTGAGTTCTCAGCTTGTTGATTAACAATCTGGTAGACTGGAAAAGCCGAGTTCGAAACTATGAAACGGTATATCGACGAACAAATCGCGAGTTGAATCGATCTTGTCGGAGTCGACCCATGAGTCGCGGCTGCTAAAACGCATCTGGCTCAAGCTTGGCTGGTGAAGGAGAGCTTCTCGTACTCTTACAGGACCCTGAAATGTATATATGTACATGTTATCATGAAGAACCAATTGTAAACGATGGACATCTTTGCCGCACTTTCGTAATGTCGAAAGTTCACTTTCGCTGCATCCATAAATCTCGCACAGCAGCTAGTACCCCAATCGACTTCTCATCGGCAGGCTCAATAGCTGACCGAGCAGCATCCTGCTCTGGAATCTTTTTCGGCGCTGGCCTCTTGCCCGCTTCCTTAGCAGCAGCCTCAATGGCGGCATGACGCTCCCTCCAGTCCCTGTCTTCCTTGTCTCGGATTTCAAGTTCACGCAGCCAAGCATCCCGCTTCTCCTGTGCCTTCCGCTGCTCCACCATCTTCTCGAACTCCCTTCGTTGCTGTCGCTCTGTTTTGAAGTACATGCCTCCGGCAACAACAGCGACAAGTGTAAAGAATTGTGCGTAGATACGAGCGCGGAACATTTTGTTCATTTCGACCGAGTCACCGGCCTTCATCGACCTGTACGCGCGGTAGAGGGCATAGCATGTGGCGGCACATCCTGAACGAAAAAGTGCGCATTAGACCGGGGCTTCTGGAGGATGCGTATCTCAGTTCGACTCACCTAGCGGGATCAAGGGTTCCTCCTTGAGCCGTCTGCGGAATTTCTGGAGAGAGGTTTCCTCCTTGAATTGGCTGGTGGTTTATGATTGGTTAGCAATCCTGTTCCTCCGCGTCTCGACAGCTAGCGACGAAGATGATCCGGTACGTACGGGTTATCCTCCATGGAGGAAGGAAGGGGTTCGTTGAGCATCTTGTCGTTGGATGGGTTATCACGGGGTATGTTGTTAGGTTCGCAAAAAGTTATCGAGCTGCACGGAATTTATTCTCGGGTGATTGACACGCCACTACTCCAAAGTCCAACTGAAAATGGAGAAGAGCACTGCAATGGGTACAGGCCTTGCAAGGGTCAAATAGAAATGGAGTGATTGTATGATTCAAGCAGATTGCCTTTCTCTAACCACGCTCTCTTTCCAAATTAAGGAAGGCAGATGTTGCCTCAATCTATCGAATTTCCGGAGACAACATGACGTTGGGAGAATCCGGAGATCTTTGCGGTAAAATTCAGTACCTGTATCGTACGTTACCGTAGTCTTGTCTTGTTTTTCTACATTGTTCACTGACAGCGATTTTGAAGCTGTTTGCACCAGAGGTACACCGTGGAAAGGGGAATCAAGATGGGCAAGTCCTGCGTATAGTCGGTAACTACTTGATCTATCATTGTGGTTGAGGATAATGCTAGACCTGCTCTCGTGACTGGAGACTATCTACTTTCTGACATAGGAACTAGGGATGATACACGGCCTCGCAGAAAACAAACTGAATTTATGCTTATATTTAATGCACGACCGACGTCCATTGAAGAGAAGTCACTTGAACGTCAGCAGTTTATAATTAGCCAAGCTTTCCGACTATCAGACTCATTAGTAGTTCGCATCATCTGGGAGGTATGCCACATATGGGTTGGTACTGGTTATCGCAGATGAACCAGGACAGACTAGCTCAAGCTATCCAGAAGGACTTCCACAATTTTATGCTCAGAGATGAGTATACCAAACTGATACTTAACATGTCTCAGTTTGTGATAAGGAAATTATTCAACAAGATGTCGCAGAAGATACCTTTACCTGCAGGGAAATTAGGGCTCAAGGTGAGGGCTGATGAGTCAACCAGTTCCGCTCCGATCACGGCATTCCAGAAAGGGTGGCCCCGCGGCAAGGATTAAATGTTTGTCGAAGGCGTGATTGTGCCACTACGGGCGAAATTTCGATATCGCCGCTGACTCCTTGGATTGCGTTCTTCTGACTCTAAATCGCAATTAGTGTCTTCAGTTTCAGAGACAGGCCTCATTATGCCCGATCAACCTGCCACGAACGGATCAACAACTCCGGTCACTGCAAAGCTGAGCAACCTCGCTTTGACCGAGTACACCGCCGCTCCCACTCCCCCCTCGGAGAAGGATCAAAACACCGCGCTGGGCTTATCCCGTGACTGGGGTATCCCAGATGCATTTCTGCTTCCCAATGGCTACCCAGATGTAAGATCCTAAGTCAATGGATTTGTTCCCGGAAATCATTAACCACCATCCTAACGACGCAGTACCTCCGCCTTATCCTGACGTCACGGGTCTACGATGTTATTCAGGAGACACCGCTTCATCATGCCATCAACCTTAGCAATCGTCTGGAATGTCGTGTGCTTCTCAAGCGGGAGGACATGCTCCCTGTATTCAGCTTCAAGCTCCGTGGAGCTTACAACAAGATGGCGCATTTGACCCCCGAGCAGCGGTGGAAGGGTGTTATTGCATGCTCCGCAGGTCAGAGCTTCTCACCTTGTTGACTCACCTCGAGGAGAGCTGACGGGTCTATAGGTAACCACGCACAAGGCGTTGCATTCTCCGCTCGCAAGCTCAAGATCCCCGCGACCATCGTCATGCCCTCGGGCACCCCTGCCATCAAGCATTTGAATGTCGCCCGTCTCGGCGGCAGTGTCATCCTTCACGGAAACGACTTCGACGCTGCCAAGGAGGAAGCTCATCGACTGGAGAAGCAGCACGGTCTGACCAGCATTCCTCCCTTCGATGATCCGTACGTGATTGCGGGACAGGGTACCATTGGAATGGAAATTCTGCGCCAAGCAAACTTGGAGAAACTCGAGGCTGTTTTCTGCGCTGTTGGCGGAGGTGGGCTGGTTGCCGGTACCGGGGTTTATCTGAAGCGCATCGCGCCGCATGTGAAGGTTATCGGAGTCGAGGCCTACGATGCCGATGCCATGGCGCGGTCGTTGGGTGAGGGATCTCGAGTCTTCCTTAGGGAGGTTGGACTGTTTGCGGACGGTGCGGCTGTGAAGACTGTTGGCGAGGAAACATATCGTCTCGCCCGTGAGGTGGTCGACGAGGTCATCTTGGTTTCGACCGACGAGACGTGTGCCGCCATCAAGGATGCCTTTGAGGATACCAGATCTATCATCGAGCCCGCAGGTGCCCTGGCACTCGCAGGTCTCAAGAAGTACATCGCCCAGAACCCTAGCCCCGACACCAACCGGGAGCTGGTTGCCATCACATCTGGCGCAAACATGGATTTCGACCGCTTGCGTTTTGTTGCTGAGCGTGCTGCTTTGGGAGAGCGGAAGGAGGCGCTGCTAAGCGTCAACATCCCGGAGAAGCCTGGTGCTTTCGCAAATCTCGTCGAGGTGATCCTTCCTCAGGCCGTGACCGCCTTCAGTTACCGTTATGCTCGTGCCGAGTCCGCCGATGTCCTGATGGGTATCTCCTTGTCTGCACTGACGGGTCGCGAAGACTTGGCGAAGATTATGAATCAGCTCGAAAAGGCCGGCATGCCCGCGAAGGATTTGAGCGACGACGAGCTTGCCAAGCGACACGTGCGTTTCCTGGTTGGAGGACGCTGCGACGTCGAGGATGAACGTCTTTTCATGTTCGAATTTCCAGAGCGTCCGGGAGCTTTGGCCAAGTTCCTCACCACGCTCCGGCCCAACCAGAACATCTCCCTGTTCCACTACCGCAACTATGGTGGCGATGTCGGAAAGGTACTGGCAGGCATTCAGTGCCCGAATGACGAGAAGAAGGATCTGGAGGCCTTCCTCAAAGACCTCGGCTATCCGTTCAGCGAGCACACCGACTCTCCCACTTACCAGACATTCCTCCGTTGTTAACATGTGCATCGACATTCTTCGTTATTTTGCGTTTCTGCTAGAGGGAATACTTGACAGGTTCGGGTTGCTGTTTTTTTCTCTCGGGATGAAAAGAGTACTTTATTTTCGTCGGCGTTCGGATCGAAGCATCAGATAGATTAGAGGCTGAAGCCTGCTTTAATGAATTGGCTTGCATATAGCAATGGATTTCAATTCTCATCTGCTTGAGATTACAAGGCAGAATGATATCATAGAAGCAGCAGATCGGCTGTATCCATCAGTTTCACATCTCGTCAGCTTGAAAATCCGGTCACTTTCAGGCTGTCTGTTCGATGCCACTCCCTTCTGTCCTGATGTTTATACAAGTCACCATCAGCCCCAGCGATCCCTGCATTCTATGTCATACCACTTCTGGGTCCAGTAATTCCAATTGCTGGGAGTTTCTCGAGGCTGATCTCCACGTTTATAAATCGAGAAGGCAAGCTTTCTTTCTTTACCCCACATCGCCGGATAGACCCATTCTCCACGAGCCGTTGCCTTTGAAGCGTCAAAGTCGAGATATCCGGTGTGTTCGTTGCCCTCATCGACCTCAATTTCTGCTTCGACAACTCGGCCCCCCCACTGGAGGTACACGCGATTCGGTTTGGGGGGCTCACCCAGCCGGCGTCTGATGGCTTGTCCTCCTGATGACCCGCTTGCTTTGCGCTTTTTGGAGTTCGACTCAAAGCCATCGGATTCATCTTCCTCTTCCTCTTCGTAATAGGCCAACTCAGGAGGCTGCTCTTCACGGAGACGGTGCAGTGCATCATCGGACAATGCTAGCAGCATGGTTCCTTCAACGAGACCAAGATTGAAGGCGGCCACTACTCCATTTGCGCTTGCTGGCTTCTGGATCTCGAGCGTCAAGTCGCAATGATAATTACCCAGGTGATCATCTATTGCTTCACAGAGAATGGAATACGATCCCACGAGATCGTCCAGCGTCAGCGGACCGGCGGGAGGGCGATACCTTTTCATATAATCCCGATGAGGCTGTAATGCTTTGTGCCAGCATTTTTGCCTTTCTGCGCGCTCTTTGGCTTCTTTTTCAGCCTTTTCTCGTTCCCTTTCATCTTCATGTCCTTTCTTGATAGCCATGACTTTGGCGATGTCCCAGCCAACTATCGTGTGCTTACAGTCCCATGCACCTCTAACCTGTATAAGGTGTAGCCCTGATATGGACTCTACAACACTTATGAGGCGTGGCAGATGCCTAAAGAATGAGTAGAGCTCGATTGGTTCGGTGGTCTTCTTCGGATCGGGCTTACCATTCAAGCCGTCAAGGAAATATTTTGCCATGAAACGATCAAGGTCGAAATTAGCCTCGGTTGTGGGGATGTGCAACGGAGCACCAGGCGCAGAACAAGTTGCAAAGGCAGCGTCGAGTCCGCGCGCGAAGGTATCTTCCCATCCAACTACAGTCAGTCGCCTGGTGATACGCGCGACGAGACCGGGTACTGTCTGCACAGCCTTTGAGAAATCCGATCCATCAACATCTTCAAGTATCAACGCCTCTCTTTGCTTCTCTTTATCTGGGGCCCCGCTCGGCCCGAGGAAATACTTGGCAAGGAACAGGTGAGGATCCAAGCGAGCCTCGAGGGAAGGAGACTCCAGCGTTGCAAATTTAGCCGCTTGTGCACGGCTGATGCGCTCCTCACGAGCTCTTTCCAGGTTGCGGTACTGTTCAGCCAAGGACCTTTCGATGGCCATCACTGCTGGTGTCGGATTTAAGCACTTGGGCGATCAGTTGCACGTCATGGTAGTCAAACACGCTTTCCTCACCTGCCTGTTCTTCACCGCAGTCTCTAGGGCACCCTTTAATTGAGCTGCACTAGCCGTTGCCTGAAAAGGGATTCCGTAAAGATGTAACTGCGCTGTGACCCACGGCTTGGTCGCAGATCTGACACGAGCACTAGACGCATTTTTGCGGAAGAGCAGCCTCAACTCCTCAAAAGGGGCTCTGGTAAAACCTCCCGCTTTGATGCCGTCTTTGTCGTAGGTGAACACGCCTGACTTCAAAGGCTCCGGTGGCGGAGGATCATAGTACTGGTAATACATCTTTGGAGACGTGGTGGGAGCAGTTCCTGAAATTGGTGCCAGGCAGGTAATCGGTTGTTTACTGTCTCGGGTTGCCTCCGCGACTGAGGAACGGGAACCCTAGAAGCCTGCCCTATGGCTGGAATAGGAGAAATCATAGGATAAATCAATAACTGAACTGTTTTTCTGCATACCACGAAGCGTAGTAGGAGAATGGGGTAATTCTGCCTAGCCTTAATTAATGCGGCTTACACTCTCATAAATAGAACATGGACCGCATTAGTGTTATATCCTTACCCATCTGGCCGTGCATGTCGATCACTTTCGGCAAAGCATATACCACAGGCAATCGACCTCAATATAGATTAATGCTTCTTGTTAGCAGTTGGGAAACCAACAAGCTAACAATGAAAGTAGATGATCGTCACTTGTCGAGTCTGCCTTGGTGCACTGCCCCAGTCATCAATGTAACTTAACACTATAAGAGGCGCCAATTGCTTTGAGTGTGGTCTCAGACATTAGTACTCTCAATAAACTAGCAGCTGAGTTGTATATGGATAAACCCTCCTAGCAATGCAGTCGTCAATGGCTACCAGTCTCTCTTTTCTGTTATTTTCCTCCCTCTTGATCTCTCCAGGTGCAGCCAATCTGAATGGCAAGAACCCTGCTCTCGAAAGCCGTGCACTATCGCACTGCATAGCAGCAGATAACAGCTCTTCGGCAGCTGGAACGACATTCTTCACTTCACCCTTGGTCAACAATGGCTCCACCCAACTTTCTTGGACGCTGGGCGTCCATATCCAGAACAGCTCGGAGGACACGGGACGGAACAATTTCATCCAGATCGAACGTGACTTCTATTTTGGCCTTGGCTCAGATGCTGGCTCTATTCAAAATGCCTCCTTTCGCGCCTGCAGTATCTTCTACCATGGTGCCTCCGAGCCTCTCTACTCTGACGCCAACCCGGACGGTCGACGTACTCAGGAACTCTCCGACGATTGCGTTCGAGATCTGACGGCCCTAGTGAACAATACTGCGCAAGAACTGATGCCCCAGAATGATGATAATCTATCGAATGTGTGTAAGAAATTGGTAGAGACAACAACCGGCGATAGGCCAACCTCATGCCAGAACTATAACCTAGCGGAGTTGCACTTCCAAGGTAAGCAGCATTGGTTTCATCACCTCGTCACATGGCGTAAACTGATTTACTTGATAGCCTTCATGAATCGCCGGAATACTTCCAACGCAAGCAGCAGTGGAAACTGCCATTCGTCGTCCGGCGGTGACTATACCCTGACCCTCGTGGATTCGAACGGTTTCGCCAACACCAATGGATCGAGTAATCTGAAGAATATGGTGCTGGGTGCGACGCCGATCGTCACTGTCTTCTATCCAGAGTCGAATTTGTCTCGACCAGACATCCAATACGTGGCTGTGAAGCCAGAGGACACCAGTGACTTGATAGGCCAGGTCAGCGGCAGTAAAACCAGCGACTCGTTGGCCTCTGGATTTACTGCACCAAGCATGTCTGCCTTGAGGATTCTGGTCATTATCTCTGCTTTTCTTTCGGGGATTATTTGATTGTATATCTTGTTTATAGTACTTGATTGAATACATGTCATATGTTCGTAATCTGTGTGTCCATTTGAGATCTCTCAGGTTGTATTGGGTAATCAGACAGACCCTTTAAATCCTTTGTATGGAAAGGTCGTATAATGACAGCCTCTTCCTCCGATAATGTATAACAAATATCCATAGGCTTTAATAGAAAATTGGAGCAGCAGCCTTGAAGGCCGATGGAACAACGTATAGCACCCTTGATGCATATAGTAGTCGCCTTCTGCCCCTGTCCAGACAGTACCTACAGTGTGAATGACAAAGGCCGCTGCATTGGCCTTAATATGTCTACCTTTTTCCAAATCTAGAGGACTGGGAAACAAATCTATCATAATCGCAACGTTAAAGCAGCACGATGAACATGGGAAGTACATCAAGATATAAGAAAGCGAACACCGGTAATCACTTCCACTCCTCGAAGTTCTGGTAGCTCTTCGCTGGAACATTATGGCGCCCACCCACACTACGCGCAGCAGGGCTCCCTGGCGCAAAATTCTTCATAGACTTCGTTTCCAAGTCGAAACAACCTTCGGTAATGCTGCCATCACACACAGGCCACGTCCGCGCCGTGTCCATGTCGCAAAACACCTTCTCCCCAGTATGCACAAAGTCTGGGCCCAGCGAGTTTGGGTCCTGGCAGACCTCCTTGGCGCTGTGTCCGTCGATACTGCTTACAATTAGCAGATTCGGCATGTTGTTCTTCACTCCCTGGACATTGACAGCCGTACTATTGCTGCTGAGCATATCTCTGGGGTGCAGCCGGACGCTCCGCCGGGTATGGTGAATGTGCATGTTGGTTCCGTCGGGATACGCCCGTGTTTTGCGGTCGATACCCTGGTTGGGTCTCTCGGGACCCCCCTGGGCATTGTACTCGAGTGGGGGCCTGAAGAATTTAACGAGCGAGTCAGGGAGGACTGGTTCAGGCTGGAAGGTCATCCGCGCGGTGTTCTGGCACAGCCGGCGCTGGTCCTCCTTGTACCGATTGACGAGTCCCTCGTCGCCGGAGAAGTCGGGCATGTGCAGACTCAGTCCCTTGGCAATGATGCCATTTGTATGATCTTTATCCATCCAGACGCACTTGACGGGGATGTTGGATGTGCCCAGGGATTCCTTGCTGGGGTACCACTGCGCGCCGCAGGTGTATCCCAAATCCCCGGTCCAGGTCCACTGGGCGGAATTGCCCATGGCGATGACCCCGGACAGGCAAATTGCATCGGTCTCCTGCATGACGATGAGGAGGTACTCGGGGCGTGCCATGTGGCCGCCATTCTGGTTTGGGGAGATGGTGATGGTCTTGGTCGCGGCATCATCGATGTGTCCGTTGGCGTCACCCTTGTACTGTCCCACGCGGTTACCCTCTCGGTCCCAGACAGCAACATGAGGGACGCTTCCCCCAGCGTTCGGTGTCATTCCGGTGACCAGGGAGACGGTGATTTGCTTGTCGGGATCAGCATGGCCCTTGAGCATCTCGCCGAGCTGCCAGAATGTCCCGATGAGGACACCGGTGTTGATGATGGCGTTCATGATGAGTGGTTATAGACTGAGATCGTGGCACTTCTAAAGATTGAATGAAGTCAAAGAGATAGTGATTTGAGATGGTACAAATGGGCGAGTCGCAGTAGTTCCTTATATACCCTCGCCTACCTCTTTTCTTGACGCGGAAATCCAATGCAGTGCATGAGACGATCCGCATTGCCTATCACTATCTTCGTCGTTGAGTATGTCTCTTGGTAAGGCTTTCTCGTTCCATATCCAACTCTCTGCTGCGGTCAATAGTAAGACAATCTACTGCCTCACTACATACCACTGATCGTTATCGTGAAACTGCCAAGGGTCTATTTTGAGCAGCTGATCCTATTAAGCTCCAGGTTTCCATCTTGTTAGATCACCAAGACTGAAGTGAAGGCGCCGCCCGTACACAATGCGGACTCGAGTTCTCAAGAGACAAGCGGCACCAACTCCGTCCTACAGCCTCGTAGGCGCGCCGGGAACATGCAAAGCAACTACGCCGTCTTGACAATACCAGGAAAGAAATATGCCTTGTCAAGGATCCAACAGTTCGCATTTCGCATCATTGGCAACGTTCGAATATGAAGGTGTTTCATGTCGACCAACAGTCATGTGGCAGTGCTTTGTTGGAAAACCGCGAGACCAGCGATGCCAATTGTTGGGTATACAGCGATATTGACAAGAGACCAGATGTCGACAGAAGGGCTCAATTGGACAACATATAAAAAGGGCATTGCTATCTCTGTGATACTCTTCTTCATTGCAGAGCACTTCCTGAGAAGCAAGCGACAACGAAATCATTCTTTCCAACTCTTACTTCTTGCATCTTTTTACCTCACACGAACGCGTTCAATATGCGTCTGAACCTGAAGCATACGCTTCTCCTGGCAGCCTCTGTGGGCATTCCATTCGAGGCATCCGCCAGAGCAAGTACGTTCACTGTATGTTGTGCAAGTAGGAAGCGACTGACCGAGTCTCCCAGTCCCTCGGCAGGAATTATCCGTGGGCTCGCTTCTTCCCAGACTCGAGCTCCCTGGTATTCCAATTCCCAAGCCTGTAATCCCCAAGCCAGTTATCCCGGAGGCCCCCGTTGGCAAACCTCCTGGACGCACCCCTCAGATCGACCCTGTGCCTGTTCCTGTTCCCAAGCCGAAACCCGAATCCCCTGTACAGCAGCCTTGCAAGAGAACTGGCACCTGCGACCAAGGCTATACTATCTCCAATGTCAATTACGCCGAGAAGGGTCGAATCCTCATCAACAATCTCCGCGAGAACAACCAGCATCCCAAAACTGATGACCATAACTTTGCCCAAGCCGAGGGGGAGTACTCGGTGAAGGCCACCAAGAAGACAACGCCTATTCTCGGCAGCAAGCTCTCCCTCTGGATAAAGGAGAATATGGGGATTAGCATGGGCAGCAGCATCTTTGACAAAGATTCCTCCTGGACTCGGTACGAAGTCTGGGGCGCCACCAACCCAGAACCGAACCTCCCCACCGTGGCCGAAGTCTATGTCTCGGTGAAGCACCGGGCTATTCTCGCCAACCGGCTGTTCCGTGACAACAACAACCTCTACCAAAATGGTTTAAAGCCCAAGGACAGACTGCCCATGTCGGAGTGGATCTTCCAGTCGTGGAAGAAGGCCGTTGCGGAGGGCAAGGCCGACTACGGCGTCGATGTCAAACTGAGCGATCTCAAGGTCTTCGTCGTCACGGACGTGACCAACCCCGAGGCTAGGGCAATCGTTGGGAAAGCGCAGCAGGGAGTTGGCGGCAACAAGATCAGATTCACCGTCAGAGCTTCGGATGGGGAGCCGTTCGAGGCCCTCGCTGCCTCGAGTAGTGGCAAGTCCAAGTACTACATGCTGGCCGATCATAACGGCCCGTCGGAGCTGAACAGGCTGGTGCCTCAGAAGGCAGAAATCTCACTGGAGGATGAGGGCGGTTTGCCTGCTATTGCTTGGAGTCTTGGACGTGATTGAGTCTTAGGTTATAAGTGGAGAAGGAATGGAAGTGACGGCGCACTGCAGTTTGTCTTCCACGTCTGGTTTCTTTGTTCCTATATACTCTGATGCTTAGAAGTACCGAGACTATAGGTACTCTTTGGTAAGAGAAGAGAGGCAAGAGAGCGAAGAGAGCACTTGTATGTATGTGATTTTCGAGGGGTTGCTATCTTCACGAGCTTTTTTGCGAGAATCAATTCAAGTGCGTTATTACGATGGATCCAAACTGTGAGGGAACACCTTGGAAAGTCTGTAAAGCTAAAGTGAAATAATCAGGAGAGGGCAGGGCTAGAATCTGGGACATAGGCCATACTACATTTGTAAGGCTTCAACTAGCAGCAAGAAGCGTGAAGATAATATTGTACATTAAAAGAGGGCAAGCGGCTGCCACTGCTTTTGCTGGACATCATATCAAGCTGGAAGTAGCTCCTATAGCATCAGACAGAATATGCTACAGAACCGGGTATACTACCCCAAACGAAGCTTTCTCACATCGCATATAATCCAGTTACGAGCCACACCACTTCCATACAGCAGCAGCACTCAATTGACCGCAGGAGAAAAAGACCAATGGCATGGAGGAGGAGGAGGGGGATCGCAAGGAAACTCCCCTTGCTTGAAGCGATTCCCAAGAATGCTTTGCAACGGATCTACCTCATGTGCTCCAAGCTTTTTCAAGGCCTCCACAAGAGTGTCTTGGCGCCAGCACTTGGCCATCACAATGGGAGGTGGATATCCCCTTCGGTTGTAAATGTCGTCGTCGTTCAGTGGCACGCCGTGGTCAAATAATGCCTTGAGATATTCGAAATTGCCATGCCGGCACGCCAGACACACGAGGTCTGCCAGTACGGAGCTGTCGTCCTCGTCGGGAACTGGCAGACTCAGACGGAGATGGCCGTCATCAAGGATCGTTCTCGCGAGCTTCGCCGCGTTTGGCTGGCAACTCAGGATAAACATCACACCAGTCCAGTCACGGATACCTAGCCGGAGGCCAGCGTCAATGAGGACCTCCATCGCGTCGTAGTGGCCGCCCCATGCTACTGCGCGCATTGCCTGGGGACCGGGAGGAACATCGATTGATCTGTTGGCGTGCTCACCGATGCTTGCGCCCCTGGCCAGTAGGAGACGCATTACTCCCGCCTGGCCTTTCCAGCCGGCATACGCCAGAGGTCGTGGTTGCTGAAGGTTCTTAGTGTAGTTGAGCGTCTCATTGACGTCGGCTCCGTTGTCAAGGAGGAGACGGACAAAGTCAATGCGGCCCGACCGGCAAGCCTCCCGAAGGCCCTCCGTCAAAAGATAGCACGATTCAGATAGCGGTGCGGTGTAATGGTCCAGTAGCGTCGCCAGAGCTTCTGCCCGATTCACGCTCATCGCCTCGACAATTGCGCGCTGATACGCCACGCCAGAGGTCCTGAGACCGAACTCGGGCTGCAGGAGGAGTTGGAGTATCTTCGGACTCCAGTGTTTAACGGCTAGTACCACTGGGGAGTGCCAGCTTTTATCATCTGACCCCTCTCCGTGCATCCTGGCGCCACGCCGAAGAAGCATCTCCACGATCTTCGGATCGAGGGACTTGACCGCTGCGTCGATAAGTCGATCCTCGAACACCCCCGACTGGGCATCCTCGCGGATGCGGCGCGTATCCTGCGATAGTTGATCGACAAGTTCAAGGTCCCCATTATAGGTTGCTGCAAACAAAAATTCATACGACGGGTCAAAATCAATGGCGCCACCATCGGCCGCTAGAGCGACGCGGCAAAGCTCGAGCTTTGTGTGTGATAAAAGTCGCTCCATGAGTTGATAGCGCAGCTTGTCTCTCTCACTACCCTTGGTTGAGTCCCGCGCAAGACGGTCTACCCAGTGGTTCATCAGGGATATGATATCTGTACCTGAGGAGTCATCGTCATCTCGTCCCTGATGAAGAAAGTAGGGCACCATAAAACTTTCCCGTTGGCTATGACTTTGCATCCAGAATAGCCTATCTCCCTTCAGGATTCTGTTCCTGGCGTATGCAAGCATGATTTCATGGTCAAACACCCCTAGAGGTTCAGCATTCCAGCCACGTAACGATCATTAGGGGGCGATGCAGACTAACGATTTACCAGACGAAGTTGGATCGATTGGTGTCTCTGTCGGATAACGATAAAATCGAGAATCCCTTGGAAGATTTCCAAGGGGAGGTCAAACAACGACATATTGACGTTGGACATGCAACACAGGAGCAAACTATGTCATCAGAATCATGAAGACTAGCGATATATACTCTGGCAGTAGAGTGAGGGGCATTGCTCTCCATCATTGAGATGCAGGTCCACAGCCACAAACTCGATAAGCGCCGCCTCTTTGTATTCTCGGCTGTATTAATGGTGAAGGGTTCCGCAACCCTCCAGTTTCCTTTCTCTCCTCAAACTTCCCTTTCACCAGCGAAACAGAGCATCGTCAATGAGCCGCGCTTCAATTCTGGTCAAGCACCGACCCGGGCTTGTGTCGTTCCAGGCAGGGTTGAAGCGGAACTTGATGTCCTGACTTCATGTAGTACATTTCACCACAGTCGAAGGAATCCCGTAGCCGTATCTGGTACAAAGGCCTGCCATAGTAGTAACTAACAAACGAAGTAAATCGTCCATGAACCTTGAGTCCTTTGACTGCATGTAGTATCTTAATCTACCTATGGATTGGTGGACGGAGACGGACCCGGATCTCGGCGATATAGAAACTCCGGCGAACATTTGCTCCGCGGATTTGATGACCTTGGGAGCATGAAGCTGACCATCTGACCCTTTTCACCTCTGGACGGCCGATCAAGAACGAATTGTCGCGGTAAAGGCTATCGGTCCTTTTCGCTCTTCTTCACTATGCTGTCCATTCGCTCCATCTTGGGTTCTTCGACCCGGGCCCTCCGCCAGCTTCTCCCGAGTCAGCCATTCTCTCACCAGTTCCTCTCGCGGTCACTATCGCAACTATCAAGAGTATCGGTCGGCAACAGCCTTCGGAGCCTGCGGTCTACAAAGCAGCAAGATAGCAATGTTGGTGTTGTGAGATCCACGGTGCGACAACTCGAGCAGGTTCGGGGCATGAAGACGAGATCGTCCGTTAAGCGGTTATGCGATGGTTGCAAGGTATGAAATATGCTGCCTGCATGGTCCACATCATACTAACGGCTGGTTGTCAATAGCCTGTTCGCAGGAAGAACCGGGTTTACATTATCTGGTGAGTATCGGCGGCGCCCTTTGCATTCGACACGTCTGACCACATAAATGCAGTTCGAAGAATCCTAAGCACAAGCAACGTCAAGGAAAATGATTGCGAGCAACATAGAGCAGAGGAAATGGGGAAACGATCTTCATCTACTGTTTGAGCCATGGAGGAAGCCTTATCGACTGTATCACGGTACGGTGCTTGGTTGGATTCGGCACAGACATGCTTCATTGAACATATGGTTTCGTTGTGATACTCGGGATATGCATGGTCAACTTTATCACGGTTATTGGCTCGGCGCTCGTGTTATTTTGTACATTAGACGACTGTCTCACTATGTCACTATGTCACTTCTTTTCAGAAGACCATTCTCCTCTTCATCTGGTTGGTTCTTGGGTCCATGCAGTCGTTCAACCAACCCCTTCTCAAACCAGTCACTTGTCCAAAATTCTGCATCTCGAGCTCAGTGGCCTCCAACGACCTCATACCTCATAAAAGGGCGTCCGATTTCAGATATTGTGCCACTTCAGTTGTTACGAGATCCCACCGCTACCACCAAAATCGCGCTGTCATTCTATCGCAGGCTACAGCCATTGTGGATGAACGAGCAATAGCATGCGCACAGGTATGAATCAGCGGCTTTCTTGACATAGCATGAGCAAGCATTCCTCTTGATGTTGCAAAATTGGGCCCGGGACATTGTCGCTCCTGTGCCTCAGGAATGCGGGATGAACCCCTGCCCTCAGGTATGTTTGGTCTACGACTCGCGAACTTCTTCTCACCAATGTCTACGACCTCTTACCGCGTGTGAACTATCTAGCAGCCGCTGCGTAAAAAGCTAGTTTGGACAACCTCCACACATCATGGTTCGCTGTTACGCGCAATTCCTGGTCTTAATCCCAGCGAGCACCGCAACACTGCTATTCTCGCAGCAAACGCTTGATGGAAATAACATCCTCAAACACAATGGCGCATTGGGACCGTATGTGGACCGCACCAACTACGGGATCAATCGCGACCCTCCGGCAGGCTGTTCAGTTGACCAGGTGGTCATGATCAAACGCCACGGGGAGCGATACCCTCTCGCAAGCGAAGGACAAAAGATAGAAAAGGCCCTGCGAAAGGTCAAGAAGGCTGTTCTGGACGAGCCTCACGCCGATGGTGATCTGAACTTTGTCAAGAATTGGACTTACTTCGTCCCTTCCATTTGCTACTATGACAAGGAAACCACCACTGGACCGTACAACGGTCTTCAGGACGCCTATAAGCACGGCATGGACGCGCGCAATCGATACGGCCACCTCTGGGACGAAGAGACGATTGTGCCTCTGTTCGCTAGTGACACCGGCCGTGTCGTGGACACGGCTCGAATGTTCGGGGAGGGGTTCTTCGGTGCTGACGAGTATAAGACGAAAGCGGCTATCAATATCATCTCCGAATCGGCTCGTTCAGGGCGCGAATGCCCTATCGCGTACATGTCATGCTCGCGACCACCCTGCGCAGCGCATATGCGATGCATGGCCGCAGTCATTGCCCCAGCTTGAGGGTGCGGCGCAGCGGCTCAATGCCCAGTATCCCAGACTGAACTTGACGTCGACGGATATATTCTGGTTGATGGGTAGGTCGCGCCTTTAGCATCTGCTGGCTTGTTTGCCTTTTGCTAACCTCACAAGCAATGGCATCCTATGAACCCAGCGTCCGTGGACATTCGGATTGGACGGGGGTGTTCACCATGGATGATGGGTCAGCCTGGGGTATATCTGGGATCTACACTTTTACTATTGCGCCGGGTAAGCCGATCTCACACTTTCAGCTGGTACACGAGCAGCGTTGACTGTTCCATTACTCCTAGACCCGGAAACAAGAAGATGCGTCCACTCGGCTCCGTGTACGTCAATGCTAGTATCGCTCTTCTCGAGCAGAGACCTTCGTCCGGCACCCTCTTCTTTAACTTGTACGTGGACCTCCCTACCATCTGCCTCCCCAATTGTAACTGACATCCTTGCAGTGCGCATGATACCGATATCACCCCCATCATCGACGCACTGGGTATCCTCAACCCACCCGAAGATCTCCCCATTGACCGTGTCGCCTTCGGCCATTCATGGTCGAGTAGTGAGCTGGTGCCAATGGGAGGCCATCTCACCATGGAGCGACTGAGTTGCAACGCCACGGCAATCTCGCCTGCAGGAATATACGTCCGACTAGTCTTGAACGAAGCCGTGGTGCCGTTCCGTGCCTGCCAGTCTGGTCCAGGCTATTCCTGTCCCTTGGAGGAGTATGCCTCCATTCTCAGACAAGGGTTACCGGATTATGCCTCGGAGTGCGAGCTCCCAGAGTCCGATCCACAGCATTTGAACTTCTGGTGGGATTACAGTACGGCGACCAGGGATAATTACCGTGATGAGACGAAGTGTGATTAAAACGTTTGATTAATGGCATATATTGTCATTATTGTGACTTGAAATTACAGATTCGCATTTTGTTGTCCAAGTATTCCGTATCATTTAGCCACTATGACTGCAATGGCTCGCCCATACCACCAAAGGTCACGCTCTTAATCGTAAGGAACTCGTCGATTCCGTACTTGCTGCCCTCACGGCCGAAGCCACTCTGCTTAACACCACCGAATCTAGGCAAAGTTAGCACCACGCAATAGCATTCGGCCTGATAGGAACACTTACGGAGAGGCAACATCGCTAATAATTCCTGTGTTGACCCCCACCATGCCGACCTCCAGCGCCTCCGCAACCCGGAAAATACGCTTGACGTTACCACTGAAGAAGTAACCGGCGAGTCCGACCTCTGCGCGATTGGCCAGCTCAACAACCTCTTTCTCGGTCTCAAAGGGGAAAATTCCAGCCACGGGGCCGAATGTCTCCTCGGAGGCAATCAACATATCCTTGCTCATCTCCGCGAGAACAGTCAGCTCGTAGAAGTTAGGACCCAGCTCGGGGACTCTCTGGCCTCCCGCGACAAGCTTGGCTCCCTTGGCTTGAGCGTCCTTGACGTGCTGGTCGACTTTCTCGGTGGCACGCTCGTGGATAAGCGGGCCGTGAGTGACACCATCCTCAAAGCCGGTGCCCAGCTTGAAGTCCTTGACCTTTGCGGCGAAGCGTTCGACGAATTCATCGTACACGCCTCTCTGGACGTAGATCCGGTTAGCGCAGACGCAGGTCTGACCTGAGCTACGGAACTTGGAGGCAATCGCTCCGGTGACCGCGGCATCGAGGTCCTCGACATCATCGAACACAATGAATGGTGCGTTTCCGCCGAGCTCCCAAGACACCTTCTTGATAGTTGACGAAGCCTGCTTCATGAGCAGTCTACCGACATTGGTCGAACCGGTGAACGAAACCTTGCGAACTTCAGGATGGGTGGTGATCACCTCTCCCACCTCCGGCGTGTTTTTCAGTGAAGTCACGATGTTGACCACGCCCTTGGGAATACCGGCGCGATGAGCCAGCTCCGCGAGGGCATTCGCAGTGAAGGGTGTTTCGCCAGGAGTCTTGCATACAACCGTGCAACCAGCGGCCAGAGCCGGTCCGATCTTTCTTGTGATCATAGCAGCCGGGAAATTCCACGGAGTGATCAAGCCGCACACACCAACGGGCTGCTTCAACGTCATGACTCGGTTACCGGGAACTGATGCTGGGATCGTGTCGCCGTAGATCCGGGGTGCTTCCTCGCTGAACCATTCGAAGAAGCTGGCTGCGTAGTTCACCTCGCCCTTGGCGTCAGCTAAGGGCTTCCCGTTCTCCCATGTGATCAATGTTGCTAGGTCTTCTGCATTGTCCATCATCAATTGGTACCATCGTCGCAACATGCGGGCACGCTCGCGTGCTAGGGTTGCGCGGAACTTGGGAAAGGCAGCTGAGGCAGCCTCGATGGCCTTTTCTGTGTCGAGGACGTCGAATTCGGGACATGTGCCGATAAGTCTTCCAGAGGCGGGATCTAAGTTGGATATGGGATAAGTTTCATTCTGACGCCAGGAGAGCACAAGCCTCACCATGCACTTCGAATGTCTTTCCTGACTCTGCGTCTACCCATTCTCCGTTGACATAGGCCCTCTCAATAAAGAGAGACTGGTCTTTCAGCTAAAGCAGCAGTTGTGAGCTCATTCCCATAAAAATGCAAGCCTCAATCAAAGAGCGGCCTTACCGGAGGTACAACATGGCTTTTTGAGTATAATCTTTTGGCATGAAGCGTAGGAACGGCGAAGGGATACCGAGCTCGCGATCTCAACAATTGCCGCGAAACCGGACGAATAATCTTCTCCATGGTGATAGAATGATGAGCCCTCAAAGGGACTAAGTGGCCTTCAGTCGCACAGGAATCTCGGGACGACAAAAAGGATAATCGATATGATTCTCCTCCCTATCTCAGTATGCGGGGAAAGTCGTGAAGCTCTTCCGCCGATGGAGTCCTGGAATGTTGCGGAAATGAAAAGACCTTAGAAATGCTTTATCTACTGCAGAAGGGAATTAAGTTATCTTTATACTTTCTAGAATACAGAAAAAATATGGATCCAGCGACGAGTATGTAAAATAAATGCTAATCGTAGCTCCGACGCCGTCAAGCATTCATTACCAGGGAGCATCACGTGGGTCGACGTCATTCTAGAACAGCACTCATTTATAACCCCACTCCCTGATATTCCCATGCTGGACTTGATTTACTTGATGACTATGAGACTGTGCACATTGAGTATTCGCCAATTACAGTAATAGAGAAATAGCTGCTCTGTTGAGGATCAGAGTCCTGTTCAACAACCCCAAATTTCGATATCAAATACATCACCGTATTGATAAAACACGGCCAGGATTGCGGACCGCAGCTCGGCACTTCTGTCCAGTAACCTTCGATGATTCGAACAGCTCCGGTAGCCCTAACCAATGGTACAGCTCAAGGACACCGACGTACTGCGGTAAATTACAAAATGTGACCGAATAGTTTACCTTATCAATTGAGTCGCCTAAAGGGACTATTCAGCTGATGAACAGGGCTGATCCATTAGCACCTGAATCCAGTGACTATCTAGTGTTCGAATTGGGGCTTAAGAATGTCATTAACTTCAGCAATATGTTTGCTAACCGCTCACTGACGGAGCACGGGACCTGGCAGTTGAAGACTTGACACTGGCGCTTCTGGACTGGTATCCGGCATGCATTCGCTTCATGTGCAAGTTGAGGTTCCATGTCCGAGTGAAACCATCGATATGTCGAGGACATGACTTGACAGGACACAGTATGTCCTGTTTGCGATGCTGCCCTTTGCCTTTGAGTCGTGGTGTGCTACCGGCTGCCTCCGAGGTTGGACTCCCAGGACGAGAAGTCGAGCCAATTGTAGACGCTGCACGGGAGCGCGATTTTTGAGATTGGGCTCGACTAGGAGGGGAGGGCTCAATTTGTGGCTCTGGTTCTGACTCATCGGACTCGTCCTCGACATACTCCCATTTGTTGACATATCCCTCCTTCGAATGCTGTAGCTGACCCTCCCTGAAGGTCTGGAATTCCATATCCTCGCCGAAAAGAGCCGCACATCTGCGAGCGGTTCGCATAACCGCAGCATGCGGCAAGCCTATCATGGAAGCAATACCTAACACTTCGCTCCAGTCGCGAAGTCCACGACGAATGCGACTGGCTGATCGCCTGCGATCACTATCCAAGGACCTTCCACGTGAACGAGAGGCAGTGCGTGCGCTCGACGCAAGCACGCTGCGAGATCGGCCTGTCGTGGATGTAGCCCGCACAGAGGATCTGCGAGTTCGTTTGCGCCCTCTTGATTGACTCCTTTCTCCCTTCTCGCCCTTGCGCCTTTTCCTGGAATGAGATGCGTTCGAAGCGACACTCTCCGTGTCGCTCTGCCATTCACTGGCCGAGCTATCGTCTCCCGCCACTCCACCTTTGCGAGCATGGTGCAGACTCATCAATAGCTGATCGAATCGGGTAAGTATGTTGCGCGTAAGAGGTCGTAGCTGTCGTCGAGATTTGTCATCATCGGCTTGGACTACCAGACGAAGTTCGATGGCATCCGTAGAGTCGACGTCACTTTCCCATTCACTCTCCATATCGGTGGTTTCGTCGTTCGTTCTGGACATAGACTGTGCCCTCCGCTTTGGGTTTGGACCGACGCCTTTAGTCGTCCAGTCTCTCGCCTGGAACCGATCCTTGGCAGTCTTGAGCATGATTGCTATGATTGACTCTTCCAGCTCCGCGCTGGGCCGAGGATCCGGCGGCATTCTCAATGTCCATTCATCATCAATTTGTCTTCGAAGATGCTCTCCTGCACGAGGGACCTCCGTTGCCGGTACTGGCCACGCTGTCCAACGTTTCGAAGGGACAAAAGCTTCCGTTTCGTCGAGCTGCTTATCACTTTCTAACGCTAGCTGTGCAATCTCACGTGCCCTAACCCGTAAGGCAAAAGCATTGTAGAGATGAGCGGCAAGATCTCTGGCTCTGAGTTCCTCTAGTGCCTGTGCATTCTGCCGGTCTTCAAACGTAAGCGTTCTCCATGTAGATTCAGGCCCACGGAACCTATTAGGCCTGTATGAGGGCGATGAAGGCGGACTATCAGGGTGCTGCTTGCTAGGCGGAGGCACTGTTGCGGCCTTCTTCTTCGATAATTTGTACGAATCACCATCATTGCTGGCCTCATCGTCGGACACAGAAGCGTCGTCCACACTTTCGACATATGTCTCATCATCCGAGTGATCGTTTTCAGTCAATGGAACCTCTTCCATGTCAACGTCTGAATCATGCTGATCCAGGAGATGTGCGTCCCGTTGTGTCTCGGGGTACGGTTCCAGATCCGCCACATCTTGGCTACTCGGGCCTCCGAATAATGACCTGTACGGTTGTGCCGATTGAGGAGGACTGAAGCGTGGGGGCTGGCTTCCAAAAACCGACGACATTCTTTTCGGTCTAAGAGTGTCATACGCCTCTAAGTATCTAGAACTTATAAAGTGACAGCTCACATATACGTGGCGTTGAAGTAATATGATGAAAATTGCCCGTCTCCTAACATTGCATGGTCAAAATCAAGAGTGCCTTGTCCGTTGCAGCTGGCGTTCCGGAGTAATCATGACCCCATTCAGAGGCGTTAGATAGAAGGTTGCCAAAACAGCGCAAGTTCTTCAGAAGCGAATCTCAGCGGACCTGGCTTGGAAACATTGTTTTTCTTGCGGAAAGATCCCGAGCCTTATGAGTTTTGATTACATGTAGGAATCCCATTCAGACGAGAACCAGAAAAAGAAATTGATATCACGTGACGTACGAACAGCTACAGCCTCAGATTCCAGGGTCGAGCTTTTGGCAGACGTACTCCGTATGTTTGATATTCTATAGATACCCTTCGTACAAATACATGGAGGAATCTTAATATACGATGTATATATGCTGAAATTAGTACAAAGCCAAGGAATGACGCCAGAAGATTGAATGTCCCCAAATTCCAGAAAAGGATATCATCTTGTCGCCAAAAGCATGCTGCTAACTTTTATCTAATGAACTTATTTTTCCGCCTCCTTCTCAAGCTTTCTCCTCTTCGACCGCAGCTTCGCCGCTTCCTCGGACTGCTTCTTGTTCGAGTAGATCATCTTCTCAAGCAACTTGCGCTTCTTACGGCTCATCATCATCTTCTGTCTCTCCAGCTCTTCCTCCTCCTTGCGCTTCTTGGAAGCGATCTTCTTAGCCTGGGAAGCCTTCTTCTTGGATGAGTCGCTAGTAGCACCGTTGGAAGAGAAGGGAAGACCAGCAGCCTCAGCCTCGAGTTCCTTCTGGTGCTGCGTGCGAACCGCTTCCTCTTCGTCCTCTGATTCGGAAGCAGCCTCTTCATCGTCAAATCCACCAAAGTCTTGCTCTTCCTCTTCACTTTCGCTCTCGTCATCGTCGGTACCGGCAACATTCATACCACCGTCGACAGACTCATCCTCGGCTTCACTATCCGATCCAACATCTGCCTTAGCTACGGCCTTCTTATCGTTGGACGCTTCTTCCATCTCCTCGTCACTGTCCTCCGCTAACTCGGCCTCGCCTTCTTCTTCCTGCTCGGCCAGGCTGGCTCGAGGATCGTAGCCGCCTCTTGAAGGCTTGACCCACGGGCTCAAGTGAGGCGGAAGGGTGGCACCGGGTGCATACAAATCCGGACGGACAAGTTTGCCCTCATTGATGCAATCCCAAACCCACTGAGGCTGGACGTAGGTTCGACCAGGAATCCGAGTACCGGGCTTCACCTTCTGAACGGCATCGGAACCGTCCTTCGAGGCAGCAGGAATAGCTGGGAGAGAGGACTCGGGCAGTTGAGGTCGGTCGACGATCTGATGAGTAATGCGAGTATCTGTCTCGTCGTGAGTGAAAGCACCATCACCGAGCACGGCATCCCAGCCGATTCTCTTGCAGCCGAAAGCCCGCAGAATGAACTCAAGGGGAGCTCTAGGTGCCTCTCGTGAGATGTAGAATGTGAATGGGGCGAAGAGCGATCCGGCCTCGCTTCCGCTCAGGTCGGGTTGGGGGAGTGTATCGGCTTCTGGGGCTGCGGGCTCGAACTTGTCGATCGTTTCACTAGATTCCTCAGTCGTCTCGGCCGCCGGCTCCTCCTTTGCTTGATCCAGTCCTGCTGATTTGATCACGTTGTCGACCTTAGCCTGAATCTCCTTCGAGACCTCCTTGTTAGTGGAGGTGGTTGCTTGTGTGTTACCACCCTCGATGGCCTTCGGGGCATCGCCGACTCCACGGCCCTCAAGGGTGAAAGCCGCCAATTCCGCCCCATTTTCGTCGCTTCTGGTGTCAAACTTGGGGGGATATCTCAGGCCAAGCGAGGAGTACAATCGGAAGTTCACGAATCCGAGCAGAGTGGTGTAGAAGTCAACGAATGTGGCCATGATACGGTAATCGACGTCGCCGTTGACGCGCTGCACGAATCGGTAAGGAACCAGCCACATAATGTCCTGTCCTTGGATGGTAGCCTGATAGTAGATACCCTTGATCGAAAGGAAAGATTTGCGCAGAGAGTTGGTCGCGATCAAGTAATGCTGAAATTCGTGACAAAGCCGTTGGCAGAGGGCAATAGTCTTAGGAGGAACGTGGGCGGTTGAGGGAAGGTTGGCAAAGAGGAAAAGAAGTGACAGGGCATCATCCAAATCTCTCAAGGCATCAATGAAAGTGGGATAGCGCTCCTTGATTACATGGTCCAATGTGAGCTTGGGAGCATGGTTCTTCTCCAACCGAGCTGCATCGCCGACTTCTCCGCGTCCAAGGGATCGTGCAATCTTCTTCGCAACGGCTTTCTGATCCCGGAATTTTCTGAGTAGGGGCTCATGGAGAAGATATTGAATGTCCTTGGTGTAGTAGAAGGTGGTATTCGGGGTCGATGTTTTCGAGGCCTTCTTCTTGTTCCGAGGCTCACGAGGATAGATACCTAATGCGCAGGGACAATAGGATTAGAATCGACGCCATCACATATAGGAGGAGAAATGGAAGATCGGATTCACTGAACATACCCTTGAAGATACAAAGACGACGGAAGTCAGGCAGAGAGATCTGAAGCTTGCGAACTGCCTGAGTTCTCGTAATGTAGTTTTTGGCCTGACCAGAGGTACCTGAAAAAAAAGTCAATTGAAACTCAAGAGTGCAAAGAATATGGTTCGATAAGCATACCCTTCTTCTTGATTTTACCCATCTTTGCGGTGTACGGCTGTTGAGCGAAAAGTTGTTGATGGGGAGACTTTTTTCTCTGATAACCAGAAAAATTTCTTGATAACTCTTTTTTCCGTCTTTTTTCTTTTTTTTCTCCAATCACAAGCTTAGTTGGCCCGTGCGCTGCGGAAAAGGGTAATGCGCGGAGTCTTGGCGCTTTAGGCCGAAGGACAGCTGGAGCAATACAAGCCTAGAGCGACTGTGAGACACTGACTGAAAGCCAGATAGTGATAGTCAGTTATCGATAATTGCTATGCTGCGATCCTCAATTCCTTGTTAAACACATCATGCCGGTCGATCGACGGAAAGCCGCCGTGTTCGGCGGTGCTTTCGTCTTGCGACTTCTCCTCTTGCTCCTGTTCCCCTCGCTGCCGGACCTGCTGACGGGCAGAGTCGAGGTTTCTACACCAGTGAACAGTTTCAAAAGACGTGAGTTGTACACAAGCATGTTTCCTCTGTGCCTGGAATGCTCGTGCTGACATCTCTATCTCCAGTTCAAGAAGGCCTCTTTCTTTACACTCGGAATGTTTCCCCTTACGACGGAGGCGTCTTCCATCAGGTATGGAGTCCGGTATCCGCTCTCTCTGGTCTTTACTAAGTCGCAGTACCACGGGTTAGGCGCCGCTTCTTCTCCCTATATTTGCCCTACTACCGAATGCTAGAGACTATCCGTTAGCGACGGCGGTCTTTTACGCTCTGATCGACCTTGTTAATGCAAATGCCTTGGTTACCATATCCGACTCCAACCAGGCGATATCGGGAAGATTGTATACAGCGTTGCGCAAGGATATCAAGTGGGGTGGGGTAGATGTGGCAGCATGGTAGTTACACTCTGCGAGTTCCTGCATGGCTACGCTGACGGATAGCAGGTACCTTTTCAACCCCTTCACCATTGCCGCCTGTCTGGGCCGATCCACAAGCGCCTTTACTTCGACCGCAATCCTTTATGCTCTGTCCAATGCCGTCACTGGGAATAGTTTCAATGCCATGCTCGCTCTAGGATGCGCGTCATATTTGTCGATCTACCCGGCCCTTCTGTTTGTTCCGCTCGTGCTTCTGTGTTATGATCGACGTACTCAAGTCACGAAACCTCCATCTAGAGTTGCAGTCTTCTCCATTCAGCACTTTGGCATACTTTTGCTGGGCGTCGGGGGTCTTCTAGGCCTATCTTACTTAGTCGTCCCAGACTTTCGGCAGTTTATCTCTGCAACATACGGTTTCCAATTGCTTGTCCCTGACCTGACTCCTAACATTGGCCTCTGGTGGTATTTCTTCATCGAAATCTTTGATTCCTTCAGAGAGTTCTTCCTTGGCGTCTTCTGGCTCCACCTAACGGGCTATGTCGGTGGTTTCACCGTTCGATTGCGCAAGCAGCCTCTTTTTGTTCTGACTTCCCTTATGGGCATCTTCGCCATTTTCAAGCCGTATCCTAGTATTTCGGATGCCTCCTTGTACTTTGCACTTCTTCCTCTTTACCGGCATCTGTTCCCATGTAAGTTCTGCGAGTGTCCCTCTGGCGGTCGCTCATGCTAACCACAACCAGTGATGCGCTACACCTTTTTTGCCATTTCCGCTCTTCTGTACGCCACCCTCCTGGGCCCTGCGTTCTACCACTTATGGATTTACGCTGGATCTGGCAATGCCAACTTCTTCTATGCGATCACACTAGTGTGGAGTCTGGGACTCTCCATCCTCTTGGCAGACACAATCTTTGCCGTTCTCAGAGACGAGTGGGAGCAGGAGAATCCAGAAATGCGAGGCAAAGATGTTAGACAGGTCTAGATCAGGGTACCATAGACCTTTTCGATATCGAACTTCGAAAGGAATTTCAATCACCGTCATTCTCATGTGTCGACTGCTGCTTCAGAGATTCAGACATGATATAGTAGTCAGGCTCCACTTCTCCTGTCCGCAACCGAATCGACCTGGGGGAGTTCTCATCCACCTTGTAACCGATTGACTTGTAAAACCGCAATGCGCGATGGTTAGACCGAAAGCAGGTCAACATAGCCTTCTCCAGGCCAATTTTGAGCCCGATTGATCGCAACAGCATCATCAGATGCATTCCAATTCCCAGGCCCTGAGCCTTTGGCGATACATGCACCTCATAACAGTAGATTACTTCCCTGCCATCCTCGTACGTGACCATAAACGAAAGGAACGCAAGTATCTCTCCCCTCTGGAAGGATATGCCGTCCCCGATGGTCACTTCAGGTGAACCTGACCGACTGCGTCGCTGAATAAGGTATTTCATATCAGGCAATCGCATCTCTTTTCGCTTGCGAGCCGCAGACCATCCCGAGCTGGACGCCCTGTAAGCATCTGCCGACGTCTGCTCGACGAGATTGAAACACACGTCGAATTCCTCAGCGGGCATCGTACTGGATGAGTAGACGTCGACGGTGCAGTGCACTTTGATTTGAGACTTATTGCCGTCATGTCGACTGTATTTGTCCTTTGAATACCATAGTAAATTGTAATCAAGAAGCTCTGGGTCGATATATAGCGAGGTGAAGTCTTCGATTGGTAGACTGTTGGTGCGCTCTACCAGAGGTAGTGGCTTGGGATCTGTAAATGCGTCAATACGAATCTTGATTCAGTTGTATCTGTTAAGTCTAGAATCTTTCAGATAAAAATTGAGCGAAGAGTATGGGGTGTAGTTTTGAGCGAAGGGAGTTGGGTCCGTCACGGCACAGCAGAAAGGGGCAGATAAAACAATGATGAATCCAGCGTTCTGCGTTCATCCAGGACCACAGCTATGCACATCTATAGACATCGACAATCACGGCTCGGGGGGTCACTCACCTTTATTCTGGTCATCATCTGCCTTCCCTGTCAAGCTACGCTGAGTGGATTTTCGCCGTGATGACTGTTTTGCCTTGGTTTTTGTCACCCTGCCTTTTCTGACAGCTGGCATTGTGATTACCGCTTCTCTCAGATCTATTTATCAGAGTTCATGGCAACAAGTATCATAAATATGTGGGGATTATTTCTGGTGATCAAGCAGTTTTAGAGGTTGTTTGGCTGTCTTGAGGCCGATTTTCACACAATCATCAATGTCTATGCTCGCCAGTTGGTGTTTGACGCTTGTCACTCCCTTTTCTCTCCCGCAATCACGGTTTGAATCAATACTATCTTGGCCCAAGTTCAACCATTCTTCGACCTTGATTGTTCTAGCTGGAAAATTGAATATTCTTCCAGCATATTGACCTTGACAAATGCAGACAGCACATTGTGTCGAGACTTTATAGCATTCATTTTTCACTCTGGGCTTATCAATATAGGACACCTTCGATTTGTGGACTGGTGTGTTACAAGAAGAGATAGTTCATACTTAATGGCTTACAATATATGCAGTGCATCTTATTACACACAAATAGCATAACACAAATTGGCAGTGGCGTGATAACAAAACGCAGTTTTTACCTTCAGAGAGCAATCTCTTCTTGTCGCCGTCTGATGACGAGCTTCGCCGAAGGATCAGCGCTGAGCGAGATGCTCCTCCTTCGCACCGTCGGTGTATAGCCATCAGCCAGTTTGAAATCATACTTTAATAGAATATGGCACAAGGCGATCTTGACCCCGTTGACAGCGAAGAACCGTCCTGGACAAGCGTGCTTCCCATAGCCAATCCGAGATACTCTGGAGACGGCGACACTAGCTGAGCCGAAGTCTCATGGCCGGGAGTCTCGCGTAGTCTCAAAAATCGATAGGGATCGAAGGTCTCCGGGTTTGGGTAAACGGCTGGATCCCACATTTTGTGGCTAGAGACGAGAATGGAGGAGCCCTTGGAATGAGTGTGCCATCGGACAATTTGACATCCTCGAGCGCGAGACGTCTCATTGAAGCTTGGCGCAGTCAGTCTTTCTAGTATCACGAGATACAGACACTTGACAGGGGATAGAATTCCTCCCCGATTTTGATCGGCTTCAAGCCTTGACTTTCCTTCAGCACACTGTCCATAAGTTTGAGCTTATATAAGGCGGTCTTCTTCCATCCTTCGTCCTGGATGACCGCCACAATTTCCTCGCGAAGCGCTTGGATAACATCTTCATGAGCACAAAGGTCGAGGAAGACCTGCGTGAGCATGTCTGATGTCGTATGGATGGCAACCAGTGAGAAGGCCATTTGCGCTTCCGCAGGGGGATAGGACCGACCTTTGGCGCATTCCTCCATTTACTGCATAGCATCATCATAGAGCGTTTGGTGGCTGATCTGCCTTCCTGGCTGCTTCTGGATCACTGGGTCTTTCTTCCAGCACCGGCATTATGATTTCCGTCGCTTGCTTCTTCGTTGTTCCTGGCGGAATTTACGGCAGGATGGCAAAATGTTGGCCACAATAGGTCGTAACAACCTTTGCCAGAGTCGGAGATCCTCAGCGGCTAAGAAGGTATCCACGGTATAGCCAACAGTAATACGTAGCCAGTCTGGGTTGCGACAAATCTTGTCCCCAAGGATGGCTTTTGATGAGAGCTGGGCAACCATTTGAAGAATGCTCGGCTTGAGCGCCACTTCATACCAGTCTGACCTGATCAGTAGTTGTGAAACAGACCGGGAAATGATAACTCACTGGCATCGTTGGACCAGTGCTTTTCAAGGACAATCGATGTCTCATCTGAGAGGGGCTTGGTCATATTTCCTGTTTGACAACCAAGAAATCAGTAGATTGTACATGACGTGAGACTTATTTCGAGATCCTAAGACTTACCCAGGTTCTGGGTCAGCTTCATTTGGATAGCATCTTGGAAGATCTCATCGCTGCTGGCTAGTTGATTGAAAGGTTCGAATCCGTGAATATCTGAGTGGAACTCCAGCGTAATGGCACGGCCAAAGCTCAAGGCATGGTGAGCGCGAAGCTCATTTGCATACTCGGGTACAAGCACAGTCTCGATTCCATTGTCCGAGTGAACGTGGAAGACGGAGCCTCAAGGGACTTAGTTCTTGAATTGCGCAGTATTTGTCAGTTATTCAGGTGTCCACGTCTTCATTCTCGGTTGGTGGAATTCTGCTTCTTCATGCGCTCGATCACAGCACCATGGTTTCAGGTAGCCATGACGCAGTCTGCTGAATTCAATGTTTCTCATGTACAATGGTTCAAGACGGACTTCTGCACTCGCATGGACGTATTCATTGCAAGAAGTGCATCAACTGACTCATTCCCATCTTGAAGAATTAAGCACCCAGCACCAACCCCATCCAATTAGTGTATAGATCGTTATATATGTATGTATATGCCACTCAGAATCTATAGGACATGTAACCGCTACGAGAATTATTTGCTCTCACCCGCCCTAAGCTTCGCTGCATGCTCCTCTGCGCGTCTCTCGGCTTCCTCAGCACCCAATTCCCCAAACACATCCACACCCCAACGGAACGGATAGCTATATCGCTGATGGCGGTCGAGGTTGTTGAGAGCTTCGAATTCCGCATCAGGAATGATGAAGTCTGATAGACACGTGCTGGTCAGTCAAAGAGGTTCGAACACTGAGGGCCGGGTTCAATAGATACCTTGAAAGTTGCTCTCAATCCGAGCTGGGGTGACACTCTTTGGAATAACAGCGGAACCACGCTGGACAGCCCAAGAGATCAGCAATCCCGCAGGATCTTTGCCCAGTCTTTTTGCTATTTCGATCACGACGGGGTCATCTACAACACTGTTTGACAGTTAGTTCACTCCGTCAGCGGTGATATGAGGATTGAGTATACCGAGGAGCACCGAAGATATTGTTGCCAAGAGGGCTATAGGCAACAGGTAGAATATTCTGGGAGATAGTCAACAGGTTCTGTATGAGTTCTGTATGTCATTTTAGGAGATCGGTGAGACGTACATTCTCTTTCAGATAGCGAAACAACTTGGGCTGAAGGAGGTAAGGATGAGCCTCGATCTGGTTGACCGCCGGAGGAATCTCTGCTGTCTTAAGTAGTTCCTCCATCTTCTCGATGGTGAAATTACTGACTCCAATGCTTCGAATCTTGCCAGCCTTGACTAGCTTCTCCAATGCTGCCCAAGTATCGCCGATGGGAATGTCCACTAAACGGAATCGTTTTGTGACCGGGTCAACGGGTTGGAAGGTCTCGGCTGTATGTGTAAATGATATGGGCCAGTGGATCTTTTCATCCATCAGTAGAGATACGTTAAGAGTGTAACTGAGTTACGGACATACCAGGTACAAGTCCAAATAATCCGTCTGTAGATCCTTGAGTGTCCTGTCGAGCGCTTCTTCGACATGGCTCGGATGATGGTGCGTATTCCACAGCTTGCTCGTTAACTGCAGAGGGAAATGAGATACTTTATCAGATGCAATTGAGGGAACTATGATTGAACCAACAAATATTTCCTTGCGAGGAACCCCGGACTTCTTCCATCCCAGTCCTACTTCGGCTTCATTCAAATAGACCGCAGCACAGTCGATATGGCGGTATCCCACGCGAAGAGCTGTCGCAACGGCATCTTCTACATCGCGAGGCGCTGATCGCTGTCCGCTCATTAACATAAGATTCATATAGCTCAAACGTTGACCTCTACTAACCCAGGTTCCTAGACCAACAGCTGGGATCTCATACCCAGAATTGAGCTTGAATTTACGCCCTAGAGACATAATCGATACGTTCCTGAGTTCAAGAAAGATAGGCTATACAAGCAGCCACCTCTGCAGAGATGAGATGAATGCAAAAAGGTCGGTTCTCAAATTAGTGAGGGGACGCGCCAGACTGCTGACTGGTTTACGGTTTTACCCCTCATGCAATGTAGATCTCACCAGCGATAAGACTGTCGTAGATCACAGAGAAAATGGCTAGACAAATGGTAGAGTACGACGAAGACGGATCCTACATTCACCATTCTACTGTTCATCCCCTAGCGTTGATGATTATCAATCGAAACAATCAGAAACATATCACTTTAGGTGCAACTGCCGGCCATTCGGAGACTCGGTGTTTGAAGGTATCCACATCCACTTTCAATCCCTTGAGCAGCTAGAATCAACACCACCTTAGGAGACACCCGGCAGTCGTTGCCCAAGAGATTTCCAGCAAAGTGAACAAAGATTGACAGGATTTATAAGCAGATTGAACCGAGGATCCTCACTCACATTGACTAAACCTAGATATTTCGGATAACCCCCGGGCACCGTTAAAGATGGCCCGAATCGGAGAGTTAATCAGTGTGCCGTCATAGCAGGTGGAGCTCCCTTTACGTCAAGAACTAGAGGTCGAGAGCTTGGGTAAAAATAACTGCTTAGGCCTCCCTGATCAGTATATTTCTAGCTAGCAGCTTGATTTCGATCGCGATACCTCTTCAATCGACCAGCCCGGGACTCGACGCCTTACATACGAAAAATGGCTCCATCGACTATGAAGCAGTGGGTTGTTGTGGATAAGGAGAACGGTTTCGATAGTCTTAATTTTAAGGAAGCTCCTGTGCCCAAGTGTGGTGAAAATGAGGTCCTTGTCAAGCTACGCGCTGCGTCGCTCAACTATCGTGACCTGATCATCCCCAAGGTGCGTCATTTCATCTACACATGAGATGGCAATGAGCAAATCAATCTTTTGTCGCTGACACTTATGGTTCTGACAGGGGATGTACCCCTTCCCTCTCAAATTCCCCGTCGTCGCCGGTTCCGATGGTGCCGGCGAGGTCGTCGAGGTTGGGTCGAAAGTGACCCAGTTCAAGAAAGGCGACAAGGTGGTGACCTTGTTCAATCAATTCCATCAGCATGGTCCTGTCGATACGCGGAGCACTAAATCCGGTCTCGGTGGTGTCTTCGATGGTACTCTGCGCCAATACGGTGTTTTCAACGAAAATGGCCTGGTCAGGGCTCCCAGGAATCTAAACTTCCTCGAGTCAAGTACCCTTACCTGCGCTGCTCTCACCAGCTGGAATGCTCTGTACGGCATGAACGCTCTTAAGCCGGGTGAGATCGTTCTGGTACAAGGAACGGGCGGTGTTAGCTTGTTTGCCCTGCAGGTACGTCTTCAAGATGATGTTGGCCGCATACTTGAGAAAGGAACATGCGACAAGCTGACAATATTCCTGGAATAGTTCGCTAAAGCAGCGGGAGCTACTGTTATTGCTACGACCTCATCTGATGTGAAGGCTAAGAAGCTCAAGGAGCTTGGAGCGGACCATATCATCAACTACAAGACGAACCCCAACTGGGGCGAAATTGCTCGCTCTCTGACTCCCGACAACGTCGGTGTCGATCACATTATCGAAGTGGGAGGCGCTGGAACTCTTAGTCAGAGTTTGAAGTGCATCAAGTTTGAGGGCACAATCAGCATCATTGGTTTCTTAGGAGGTGTTGATCCCAAGGGTCAGCCTGGCATGCTTGAAGCACTCAACCACATCTGCACCATTCGGGGTGTATATGTCGGAAGCAAGGCTTTGATGAACGATATGATCAAGGCCATTGAGGTGAACAACATCCACCCGGTCGTTGACGAGAAGGTTTTCCGTCTCGATCAGGCCAAGGAAGCCTATGAATACATGGTGAGTCTTCTTTTCATTAAAAGGTTATTGAGAATGGGGAGCTAACGGCAAGCAATAGTGGGCTCAAAAGCATCTCGGAAAGCTGGCAATTGAGGTTGATTAAACGCGAGCGTATCAGACTATGCGAAGGCTATTAAATGATGAATACGACAACTTTGAATACCATAGCCATTGTACTATCTATGCAGTGATGTGATTGATGCCAATAGACGTATGATGCTATCTAAGCCATCCTTTTCAACGTTCTAATTCCCTTATCTACTCTTAATCGACACTAGGCGAAGATATATTAGCTTTCTTGTACTGTCTAGAGAGGTGCATCGCAGGTAGATAGGTAGCTTCTCATCCGGGAACACCAACCAGCCATCGCTCAGCACCTTCCGGCTTCCCCTCATCTTGCCCGCAACACGCCACCGCCGCACAACAGCTCATCATGCATCATAACGCCATGATCGTCCAGCATCCCCTTCTCCTGATTTGCACCCCCTTGTGAAAATGGGTCCTCTTCACACTACTCCGTACTACTGCAAAGTAGTGATGATTCCCCACTTCTTAGCTCCATACTTGACTTAATAATATTCTCGAGTCTTCCGATCTACTCTTGAGATGCAGGTCAGCACAAGGAATACGTCGACTCGGCCCATCATCGGTCCGGGTCGCCATCAGATGCCATCACAGCTCCACTTCTACCGTCCCGCGCAAATGAGTCTGTTTGCACGCGTGACGTGCTGGCCGCCTCTGGGGCAGGTCACTGGTATACCAAGGGTACAGAAAGCCTTGCAGTCGGAAAAGGACGATACGGTGAGCTATTACCATTGATTTTCTGTGTTCATCTTAGGCTTGGGGAGAGCTACCTCTCCTTGGTTCATTTTACTACCCACCAATCAAATAAACTAATGGACAATAGCTTCGCTTTACTGTGGTAATTGAATCAGCCAGCTTATTTCCGGAGCAGCCATGGGAGGCCCAGATATGGCATAATCTCTCCAGCTCCGAATGGACAGCACTCCCGTTGAAGGAATGTGAGCCCATTGTAGCCCCTCTGATGAACGGGGACGAGGAGGATTACAAGTACCGTCGCTATGTCTTCTCCGAGGACATCGCTCTCCCTGCTACAGGGGGCTATGCGCGGTTCACGGTTCGATTTCGTGCCACTCCAGAGGCAGAATGGCAATGGGTGAACCAACAACGTCATATCAATGACGGGGAGCTGGTATTTGCGGCGCGGAATTCTCAGTTCGACACGGGGTTTTCTTCATCTGTTGCTACAGATCCCGCTCGGGCACCGTCGTTTAGTCCTTTTGCGATGACATATGGAAATGCATCTACAACGTCAGATAGAGAGGGATTTGGCAAGTACTTTGATAATCTCTCGACTGAGGTCGAGGTCGAGTCGCGTACGAGTGAGGCCCCTGCTTCTCTTCTGTGGAGCCTTTCTGGATCAGTAGAAGCGGCCAAAGAGGGCCAGTCCGGGCTCAAGCGGGTCGCCCTGGGCCAGCCGTCCTCAATCGCTCGCTATTTTGCCCTAGTAAGGGTATGGATTCCATGGCTTGGACCTAGACATGGAAAGAAGAAATTCAGCTTGACAGAGGATGCCGTATTATGTTCCTTCCTGCGGACCGACGGTTCCCACCTGGTTCTTCTGGCAGTCTCAGGAATTAGTGATGTCCTCACTGTGCTTGCTTCGAACGAGAGAGGGGAAGTCGTGATTAAGGCGAAGAGTGATCACACTGAAGCAAGCAAGTTCCAGGTTCTTGCTTCTGCCGCCGATGATTTCGAAGTAGCCATGAGTGCTGTCATATACGAAGCTCGGAAATTGGTCAGGCCGTACGCTACGGAGGTATTGTCTGATCGATCGCCGACCCCGGTCTCGCCCGTCGACAACGATATTGTGGTGGTAGAAAAGGACCCCCAGGCGCAATGGATGTCGGAGTGGTATGATGGCCTAAGCTACTGTACTTGGAACGGGCTGGGGCAGAACCTGACCGAAGAAAAGATCCTTTTCGCTCTTGACTCCTTGAAGGAGCAGGGAATCAAAATTCAGAATCTGATTATAGATGACAATTGGCAGACTCTCGACAACGAAGGCGAGTCACAGTTCAAGAGGGCGTGGACGCGGTTTGAGGCAGATCCCAAAGCTTTCCCGCAGGGATTTAAACAGGGCATAGAGACCATCCGCCAGAAGCATCGGAATATCCAGCATATCGCGGTCTGGCATGCTCTCTTTGGATACTGGGGTGGAATTTCGCCGAACGGGGATCTTGCCCGAGCGTACAAGACCAAAGAGGTGCAGGTTACGGATCCGGCCACAGGAGGGCCCGGTGCGCACGCCTTCGAGAATGGGTCCTTGCTGGCCATTGACCCTGAAGATATTCAGCGCTTTTATGATGATTTCTACAGCTTTTTAACATCTGTCGGTGTTGATTCGGTCAAAACAGACGCCCAGTTCTTCCTTGATCTGCTGAAAGACCCCGAGGACCGCAGACGGTTTATGAACGCTTACCAGGACGCATGGTCCATTTCCTCCCTAAGTCACTTCAGTACAAGGGCAATCTCGTGCATGTCCATGATCCCCCAAGCCATCTTTCACTCCCAGCTCCCGACGAACAAGCCTCAGATCGCTCTGCGCAACTCGGATGACTACTTCCCGGAGATCCCGGCATCTCACACTTGGCATGTATTTTGCAACGCACACAATGCCCTCTTGACACGGTATCTTAACATCTTGCCGGACTGGGACATGTTCCAGACGTGCCATCCCTACGCTTCGTTCCATGCAGCTGCACGATGCCTCTCAGGTGGCCCGATATACATCACCGACGAGCCCGGTAAACATGGCCTACCGGTCATTAACCAGATGACCGCGCCCACTATCCATGGATCAACAGTCATCCTCAGACCTAGCATCGTGGGACGCACGCTAGACATGTACCACGATTACAACGAAGGCAACATCCTCCGCATCGGCACGTACACCGGGTGGGCCAAGACAGGCAGCGGCATTCTGGGACTCTTCAACATCCACGCCGCGGGATCATCTTGCATCGTGCCCTTGCGCGATTTCCCAGGCATTCATCCAGGCTCAGATGGCCAGTACATTATCCGCGCACA